TAAGGTAAGTTATGTGGTAAGAATGTAGTAGAAAAATGTTTAGGAACACAATTTCACAAATCATGGCATTCTTATTTTAAGTGACTTGAAATTTCTTGAAAATATCAAATGTTCAAATATTAAATTTGTCTTTTGTTGCAAGAGATATTCAGAACTTCTTAATATGTTGGCTGAAGATGCCTTAACATACCAAATTACAGCTTTCTCTCCAGACTACTCACAAATATCTATGGTTGTAAAATGTTTTGAGTGTTTAATGTAAAATTGTTATAGAACTGTGAACTCTGAGCATAGTAATCTTAATATTGTTTTAGGAAGAATGCTTGTGTTCTGTATCATATATGCTTAAATATCACACAGTGACTTTGGAGTGCAACAAACAAAACTGAAAGTTGACAGCCGTTAGGTTGTTGTGTCCGTGACAATCATAAGAAAATATAAGATTGGATATTGTTCAAAAAAACTTCAGGAACATCTTTGGGAAAAAAATTCCATAGGCTGATATATTTACCCATCAAAGCACTTGATTACATATCTAGTAAGATAATTTTTTTAACTGTTAAAATTGGGATCATGTTTTATAATTCATTTAAGAAACAGGAAAAAAAAAAAAAAGACCAGACTCTTAGTGCTTTTGTGTTTTAATAACCATAGATGAAAATTTCAGTTTTGTTATATATATATATATATTTTTTGTGAATGTTAAATGATCAGTGGAAGGATCTGTCTTCCAGCAACTGTGTGCTATGGGTGTCCTCTTGAATTACACAGCATTTCATAGTTACAGGTTCTCCCTAGTTAATATTTGCACTGTACAAGCTCACAGGTAACAAACACAAAAGAGAAATGATTACTTCCAAGCTTTTTTCACAAAATCAAATTAAAGTCTGTGGTTAATTTGAAAGCTCTTTTGTTTCTATTCAATCACTGATACTCTGCATGTCATTTAATAGTTGCAGACAAAGCTGTTGTAGAACTTGGTTGCCGCTGACCCCTTGGAGATCCATACCATCTTTGTCCACTTTTGTCTTCCTTGTTGTGAACTGTAGTTTCTAACTTTAGCCACTGTGTTAGTTTCCTATTGCTGCTATAAGACGTTACTATAACCTTAGTGACAACACAAATTTATTATCTTACAGTTCTGTAAGTCAGAAGTTCTGTGGACTTAGCTGGTGTTTCTGCATCAAGTCAACACAGGCCGACAACCAGAGCAGCAGTAGGGAAAAGCTCTGGGCCGAATCTGTTTCAAGGCTTATTCAGGTTGGTGAACTCAGTTCCACGCTGCTGTGGGACTGCAGGCCCGTTTCCCTTCTGGCTCTTCACTGGGAATCACTTGCAGTTTCTAGAGACCAGCATCATTGCCTGGTCCATGGCTTCTTTCATACTCAAAGCAAGTAACAAAGGCTTCATGCTTCAGACATTTCCTGCCTCTTCTTCACTACTTCTCTGACTGCTCTGGTTATCAGGGTCCATGCTATTAAATAGGGCTTACCTGAATAATCTCCCTATTTTAAGGTCAGCTGGTAAGCAAACCTAATTTCATGTAAAAAGTTTCTTTTTCCCCAAGTCACATAACATATTTATAGGTATTAAAGTCAGGATAAGAAGATCACTGAAGCCAAAATTCTGCTTATCATAGGAGAGGAAGGGAAAGGCCTGGACAACTTCAGGCTTACAACAGAGTTTTACCCTGAAGGCTGCCGAGAATAGAGAACAATGTAGATGTGGTCCTATGTGCTTATGATGGTCACCTCCCATATACTTTTTGAAAATCATCTAAGTTGAGATTTATAAGATTTCTATTTGCTTCCTCAAACTTCTAAACTTTTCTGATTTCCTACAATAAGCATCTATTACCTATACAATTTAGGAAATAAAGGGAAAAGATATTCATTAACAAAAACAAATATGTTCTCTTCAAATTTTGGATAAAGAAAATAAACTCTTATAAATCTCAACTTGGATGTTTTTCAGAAAGTATACAGGAGGTGACCATCATAAGCACATAGGACTGCATCTACATTGCTGTTCTCTGTTCTCAGCAGCCAGCAGTGTAAAAACTGTTGAAAGCCTGAAGTCTTATCCCTGTTACCCAGAAACAACCACTTCTTAGCAGTTTGTCTTTATGTATTGACTTTTTTCTCTTCCTCTGCTTCCCTCTAAAATCCTGTGTTTTAAAAGTTCTGAACATATGTGGGAGAGGCCCTGCTGGAGAGAATGCTATGGTGGCTTAGAAGGCCACGTGTTTCAGAGGTACTGGAAAGGAGGAAGGGACGGCTCTGTCGGTGCATGTTAGCAGGTTGCTGGTGGCCTGGCCTATACATGAATGAGGGTGTCTTTAATCTCTGTTAGGTTCAGGTCCCTTTGCAAGCTGTTTTTCTCTGACAGAGTATTGTCATCTCTAATGATATCTTTTGATACAAAATTAAAAAGTTAAATAGAAACTAGTCTTTACATTGAAATGTTTTGCTAGATTAGGGTTTCTAGGAGACAGATGACATCTGCTTGAGACATCACTGAAATTATAATGTTTGCATTAAGGGACTTTGTAGATTAGTAGCATTGAAACTGAACTTCATACACTGTGATTTAAAGAATGGAAGGAATGTGGCTGATTATGAAATAGAAATAACTACTTTGATGTAGATGGAATGTTTTTCCTAAAAATATATTCCATATCAGTAGTTATTAGGTATTTGTCTATATTAGACCAAATGGTTTATACTTTAAAAACATAGAAAAGTGTTGTTTCAAAAACCTGTTAAGTATATTTATGTAAAATTTTTATATCCTAGCCATTCTTTTTTCTTTTAAAGACTGGATTATTTTATTAACATCTTAGTATCATCCAATTTTAACAATTTACTGAAACCAACATGCTTCTTTTTCATTATATGATTTTTATCCTCTTTTCTTGGCTAGTAGATTTACTAGCATAAAAGATTTCTTGCTAAATTATAGTGACTCTCTTGCTATCCCATGGACTGAAGCCCATCAGGCTCCTCTCTTTCCCAGGCAAGAATACTGGAGTGGGTTGTCATCCTTCTCTGGGGAGTAATGATGACAGTTTTTCCCTAATAATGTTTCTGGTAGCTGTGGGATCCATCAGAAGTGGCTGCACTCCTTAGGAAATAGAGCAGATGGCCTGATGCACCTAAGGACACCTTGGATTGATTATGAGGCCATATCACACTCACAGGGTTTATGCAGTGATGTACACATCAGCCTTTTTGCCTTGATCTCCCTTACAGATGATTTCTGAATCTGAGAGGTCAAGGTATCCTAGCCATTCTTTCAAGTCTTAATTTCAAAAACCTGTTTTTGTGTTCAACATCTTCCAACTTCACAAAAGGCCAGGTACTAAAATAACCACACTTATACAGTATTTTGTATTAAGGGTTTTAGGACACTTATTTATCTATATTATTCTATTGCAGCCTGACAATAGTCCTGAGATGTAGACAAGGTGAGTGCTATTAGCGCTGCTTTACTGATGAGGAAATAAGAGACTCAGAGCTAAGTCATGGACTCAGAATACAGGCCATGCCACAAGACAACATGAATGGGACAGAGCTGTGTCAGATAAAATTGAGTCCCCCTGTCACCTCAGGATCTAAGGTCATGTTTTGGTGAGGTGGCAAGAGTGCGATGTAGGTTTTGGTCCTCTTTGTATAGGAGCATTGCATGAATGGTCTCTGCTCAACACAGCCTTGCACTCCCTCTCACTCCGCTTGGGCCACACCTTTCCTTGTCTCCTACAGTGCCTGCGGTGTGGGAGACGGCTGCAGTTGCCTGGCTGCCCTGCCTCTCAGAGAGTAAATTTAATTTGGGGGGTTGGGGGGGCGTGGTCCACGCAGAAATATATTCCGGGTCTTTGGTGTCAGCCTTAATGTCATCTCCCAAAAAAGAAATTTCATAATCACGTCTCAATCCTGTTTCTCTCTCACCTCTCCCTCTAATGGGGCTCCGGTACTATATATACTTCTATTGTGGCTGTCTTAAATTAAGGTTTAGTGCTCTTTTGCCTTGAATATTGCAAAGATGACTAGTCTCTCCTCGTTATCTGTCATCCATAATCAGTCAGCCATATTACCATGATTATTTTTTCCTTTTCTCTCTAGACATCTGGTGTTGTCTTCCTGCTTAAGACCTCTGGATGGTTCCTACTCTCTAGAGGAAAAAGTCCAAGTGACCTCTGTTACATTCTAGCCCTGGTTTACCCCATTTCAGCTCTTGCTACTTCCTACCAGATACACTAGGCGCCTTCTACTTTGAATTTCTCCCTGGTCACCAGGGAGGGCATCGACTTCTCTGTGTCTTGTCCAGCAAATATATTATGTTTAAAGACCAAGTTTCGGTGTCCCGTATATGTTGTTATAACTGTTACTTGTAATAATCTCTCCACCTATTTTCCTCTCTAAGCCCTATGAATACCTTTGATACTTTTCATCTGGAATAAGCCTGGCCTTTCTTGGCACATGCCGTTTGGAACAAGAAAAAAAAAAAAAGATAAAAGAACCTACAAGCTTAAAAAATAGTGTCACAGTATAGAGGATGAGGCCATGGATCATGCCCTTGAAGGTCAGAGTCACCCTGCCTAACATGCCGTGTACATCATTTGAAAAATAGAATGTTATTTACAGCTCAGCTTATTTTTATTCTCTGTAAGTAAAAATACTTATAAATTATTTTAATGCATATTAAGGCATAAACAAAATAATATCCTGTTGTCTAAAGTAAAAAATGGTTATTTTAAACAGATACAGTATATAATTTAAATGTTATTAAACATATTTAGGCAGTTCTGAAAATGTTGGGTGAATTTAGGAAAAAACTACTTTTCAGCATCCTATTCCCAAAGAAACTAATTTTTGGCAACATTTGTTAGATTTTTAGTTTTATGATAAAAATCAATGAGAAATGTCCTCCTGCTTTAGGATTATACCTGAAATTGGAGTATTTGAAAGATGTTGGTTACACTATTTACTTATCAGAATTAAATTACACCCAATTTAAATGCACAACATCATCTTGAAATTATAAACACTCGTGTACTAATATTAGAAGCAAACTAACCATCTGCACAACTGACTAGGTGCCATAAGGCATGATTTCTAACTTTGGACATGGCTCATTAAACAAGTGCTCAAATGCCAACACACACTGTTTCACATTTTGAGCCAGTAGTGAAATACATACTGAAATAGACATTGAAAGATAACTGTTTAGTAGTAAAACCAACATCTAAATATGGAGGATTTTTCTTTTCTAAGTTGTTAACGAAAATTTCCACAGATTCCACCATCTCATGCTGGCAACATAAACTAATGTAAAGCAGGGCTGAGACCTTAGAACTAGTTCACACTTGAGCAGACCATACCACTTGATCTTGATCTCTCTAAGGTGACCAAACTTGTTTCCTGAGGGAAAAAGGGAGAAATAAACACTTTGAAATACAGGCCCATGGAAGAGGAAGAGATTTGGGGGGAATTTCTTATTCAGTTTAATATTCTTATTCTCCTTTAAAATGTTTACAAATATGCTCTTTAGAGAAGTCTGATAACATACTCAGAAGTAGCAGGCAAAAAAATTACTCTTCCAAGTAATTTTTATTGAATAAAGAAAGAATTAGTTGCTTAGTTGTGTCCGACTCTTTGTGACCCCGTGGACTGGTGTAGCCTGCCAGGCTCCTCTATCCATGGGATTCTCTAGGTAAGAATACTGGAGTGGGTTGCCATTTCCTTCTGCAGGGGATTTTCCTGACAGGGATTGAACCTGGGTCTCCCACATTGCAGTCAGATTCTTTACCATCTGAGCCACCAGGGAAGTCCTCCTTATAGAATAGAGCATTGCATATTTACAAACTTTTCCTGAAGTATATATATGCAGTAGTCTTTCCTTGAGACTCATGTACACAGTAATGCATTAAGTATTCAGAATTTGATTTAAAGTATAAAGTCAAACCACTTACTTGAAATCTAGATGTTCAATTAGCACATGTCCATCTATAAAAATAAAAGTCACTATTACTAATCTGAAAGTTATAATGCTTTTGAGTTTTTTTCAAAAGAAGTTATTGAAATATTATGGGCAATAACCTAGTAACTTACATTTGCCTTCAGAATTGCGGCATATCACTAGATTTTCTTCAGAGATATCGATGACTTCCAGTTCTTCTCCAGGGGTTATTGGCAAGTCAGATATTCCATTTCTTGAATTATTGGAACACACCACTGCTGTGTTGATGACAGTAATCTCTTTGTCATACTGAAAGAAAAAATTACTAATAAGAACATGCTTGCATAGACTTATTCTTTTTCATTATAACAACATTAATGGAGGACATACTATGGTAACCTCAAAATAAACTCAAGAGGCCAGATATTTGTTAACTAATGTTTAAGGAAAAAGAAAATAGCAAGATATTTAGGGAAAGAAAGGTTATTTAAAGAAATAATAGTACATTTATTTATTATCACAACCTTTACATTTGTTTGGTAAGATATTTTCAAAATGTTTTCATATCCATTATCTAATTGTAGTAGAAGGAATTCTGGGAGGTGAGAAGGTGGTAACATTGGTATAAATTAAGTATTGTGAATGGTATATTAATTGTTCCAGTAATGAAGTCAATCAGTAAACCCAGGAAAGGACAAGTTATAAAAAGAGGGAAACAGAAAACCTCTTTGTGTAGTAGTGCTTTAGAGTTTATAATGTTCTTATATATATAGCATTCTAGATGGCACTCTTTCCACCCTTCCTCTTTAGTGGGTTCATATATTCTTGCATACATGTATTAATAGCAGCAGCACACATATTTTAGAGAGGTAGGAATGGTGTGTAGCTTCCCTGATAGCTCAGTTGGTAAAGAATCCACCTGCAGTGCAGGAGACCCCGGTTTGATTCCTGGGTCTGGAAGATCCGCTGGAGAAGGGATAGGCTACCCACTGCAGTGTTCTTGGTCTTCCCTTGTGATCAGCTGGTAAAGAATCTGCTTCCAACTTGGAAGACCGGGGTTCAATCCCTGGGTTGGGAAGATCCCCTGGAGAAGGGAAAGGCTACCCAATCCAGTATTCTGGCCTGAAGAATTCCATGGACTAAGTCCATGGGGTCGCAAAGAGTCAGACACGACTGAGCAACTTTCACTTTAGGAATGGTGTGTGGGAACAGGTCCCACTCTCCCTTGGTGGTTAAAGACAATTACTTGTGGAACAACTGAGGGATTCTATTTCTAACCTTAGGAGAGTTGTTTTTTTTTTTTTCTGTGTTATAAAACTAGCCAATCTACCCATGTACAGGTACACCACCTTTTAATGTATTGAAATCCACTTATTGGAAAAAGTTCTAAAATATGTAGCTTATACTTGCAGATGTCTGCTTCACTAAGTTAGGGTAGCCACACATCTTCCTTTGCTCAGGATAGTCTCTATATTTAATGTCTCAAGTTATAAATACTTACTGTGATTAACTGTGCCTCCTTCCCCTCAGAAGTGTCCTGGATTTGGATGATGAATTATGATGGGTACCAAATGCGATCTAATCCACAAGATAGGTTTTTCTTTTGCCTACTAGAGTAATAGCTTCTTAATTGATCTTACCCTTTCCAGATCACTGTTCACAATGATTTCTTAAAACGCAAATCTGATTTTTTAAAATAAAATTCTAAAAACTCTTCATTCAAACTCAGATTTCTTAGTTTGACATTTAGGGTCCTTTGCACAACATCATTCCCCATCCCCCTCTCTTTCTTTTCCCTTCATTGAAGCCTTACCAAGCTATATGATAATCCTGAACGCACTGTGTACCTTCCATATTTCCATGCCATTGCACTTGCTGTTTTCTCTGCCTGAAGTGCTTTTTTTCTCTTAAGCACTATTCATGAAGGCGTTCATGACTGCCCTGTATAATTTACTGTTTTAACTGTACTTTGTATGTACCCCATGATGGCGTTTAATCAACATATTGTCTCTCGTAAAATAAAAATGGGAAGTTTTATCCATTCTTGCACCCTCAGTGCCTCACACAAATGAAGTACCCAATATTTTGGTTGGATGTGATTTGAGGTGAGTAAAAATTATTGAAACTGTATAGTTTTCCTAATGATATATCAAGGAGACTCACCACAGGTGATTGGGAAGAATGGACTCAAGAGAATGGGAATTTCTGCTGCCTATGAGAGTGTCACAAATACAGTGGGGAATAAAAGCACTAGATGGAACATAGGGTCCTTTCAACAAGTAATTGTTACACACTCATTTTTCAACTAATCAAATAATGTCATGGTTTACAGTAAGTAATTTCATATTACAATTTATAGATCTAGTAACCCTAATTAGCTTGGTTCAAGCAGAACTTATAAATGATTAAGAAGTTTTTGTGCTTATTCCTAAGTTGAGTCCAAAAACATTTTCATACAGTGTTAGGTACTACACTAACCTTCTTGCCTGGAGAATCCCAGGGACGGGGGAGCCTGGTGGGCTACCATCTATGGGGTCACACAGAGTCGGGACACGACTGAAGAGACTTAGCAGTAGGTACTACTATTATGCTCACTACATGGACAGGATACATAATATAAACCCTGTCCTCCAGGAATTCATAGTTTAACTGATGAACATGTATTGCAACAATGCTAATGTTTTGTGATAAGCTAGAGGTTTGCTCAGGTAGAAAGTATTGTAGAGGAAGAGTAATTTCTTTAATCAGCAAGCGTGAGTTCCTAGAGGCGATGCCCCGACTAGGTCATCACAAGTGAATAGGTGCTAGTCAGATGGAGAAGTAGCAAGGGCACACCTGATGGTGTGTCCGGAAGGGCTCAGGTCAGTGTCTGAGGAAGGGACCAGCAGGACGAGGATGGGGGTGGATGTTCATTCAAGAGACAGAACGACGAACAACTTGCTGCCAAGGCACAAAGAGCACAGCAGAAGAATGGCGAGAAATAAAACCAGGAGGACGGGGGTCATGACGTGAGGAGCGTTATGTAACTCTCTCCATCCAGTGTCTGGTATGCGGGAGGTGTTCAGTGTATGTTCCTTAATAATGCTCACTGGGACAGCACATGAAACCAAAAGGGAGGTGTGTCTGAACCTTGAAATTACAGAAAAACGCTCCATGGACTCAGTGACAGAGTTGATTAATCATTCAGTGTACCCACTTTTATGTTGGGAGCTAAGGGGAAATGAACAAGACAAAAATCTGTCCTTTAAAAGTGACTCAGACTTTAGTTCAGACTACACAAACACACACACACACTTTGGCTCAAGGAGTCAGGGAAGGGTAGATGACATTTGAACAGAGTCTTAAAGAACAACTTAGCAGTTTTTCCAGGCAGAGGAAATAGCATGTACAAAGGCATGATAATACAGAAATGTATCAGGAAAAATTAACCTATCACATGTTTAATCAAAGATCATGACAGTCCCAGAGAGGCAGATGTACACCACACTTAACAGAATCTTTAAAAAAAAAATTTAATTCCTCTGTTAATGTTTACCTTCAGAGAACATACCTTGAATCTTTCTCTAAAAAGTCTTTCTTCCCTTTTCATCCTGTCCTTTTCTAAATTTTGCTTCTTGGTTTTGAAGAAACTCCTAGAAGATGGCAAGAAATGTGCAGGTAGGGTTAAGTGTTACTGTATATAATAAAACTCTTTATCTTCCAAAGCTATAAACTCATTCTACTTCAGGATATATTCAGGTATAATTATGTGTATAATTTTATACCATCTTATTGTTGCCTCTTCTTTCTCAAATCTGCATACTTGCCTCCAGAGTCATCTTTCTAAAATTTAATTGATCATATCACTCCCTTGCTTAAAACCTTCCGGTCTGTCTCTGCTGCCCCTACTGTAAGATAAAGTCAGATCCCACTGTGTTGTACACAGAGTATTTTATAATTTGGCCCAACCCCCCTTTTCAGCTGTCCTTTTCCACATAACATTCAAAGTCTACATGGAACATCTTAGAAGGTGGGCTGTCATTTCCATGCCTTTATACCAGAAAACCGCCCTCAAACTTCTCTGAGAACTGGTCATCATCCTGATTAATAAAGGGATAATAAAAGGGTTGCACTAAAATTACACTAAAAAAGTAACCCTTACTTATTGGTAGAGTAAGTTATGGTAAAAAATCATTTAAAAAGGAACAAAGACTCAGACAGGGAGTCAGGAGCACTTTACATTAAACTGAGGAAGTTCCACATGATCAGAGAGGAGTCACTTCCATACTTCACCACATTCTCTCACTCCCACAAAGAAAAAAATAAATATATAAAAATAAAAAGGAACAAAGAATGCATAGAAATTGATACATCAATCTACAAGAATAATGTTAAACTCAGTATTGCATTTTCAAATTACTCAGTTGAGGAAAACAACTATAATATATCAGTTTGTTGTAAGAAACAAAGCACTAGAAGATTGTTTCCTATGTATAGTCATTAAAATAGTGGGTTTCCCCAATGGCTCAGCGGGTAAAGAATCTGCCTGCAATGCAGGAGTCATAGGGTATGTGGGTTTGATCCCTGGATCTGGAAGATCCCCTGGAGTAGGAAATGGCAACCCACTCTAGCATTCTTGCCTGGAGAATCCCATGGACTGAGGAAAGCTTTTTTTTGGCAGGAGATGGGGAAAGTAAAAAATTTCACTGATACTTCATTTCTTGGAGTTTTGTTTTGCTATGCTATGCAAAATTAAAAGATGCTTGCTCCTTGGAAGAAAAGCTATGGCAGACAGCATATTAAAAAGCAGAGACATAACTTTGCCAACAAAGGTCCATATAGTCAAAGCTATGGTTTTTTCAATAGTCATGTACAGATGTGAGAGTTGGACCATAAAGAAGGCTGAGCTGAAGAATCAGTGGTTTCAAACTGTGGTGCTAGAGGTGATGGTTAAGAGTCCCCTTGGACAGCAAGGAAATCAAACCAGTCAATCCTAAAGGAAATCAACCCTGAATATTTACTGGAAGGACTGATGCTGAAGCTGAAGCTCCAATACTTTGACCCCCTGATGTGAAGAGCAGACTCATTGGAAAAGACCCTGATGCTGGGAAGGACTGAGGGCAGAAGGAGAAGGGAGCAACAGAGGATGAGATGGTTGGATGGCATCACCAACTCAAGGGACATGAGTTTGAGCAAACTCTGGGGGATGGTGAAGGATGGAGAAGCCTGGTGTGCTGCAGTCCATGGTGTTGCAAAAAGTTGGACACGATTGAGTGACTGAACAACAAAATGCAAAAGTAGAAGTGTGATGTTTAAAGGTAGAAAGATGCTTTTCTAGTCTTGAATACATCTTCCCAACTTGGAAAAAGTAAATTACATCAAGTCTAAACTTAAAAACTTAGAGAAGGACCATCCTCCCCTTTTGCCATCCTCTGAGTTTAAATTTGGTACAGACTGTTGTCTGATTTTGACTTTTCTGGACAGATTTCCCAGAGTAGACAGACTATACAATGTTTTCAGCTCAGTGACTGTTTAGACAAGGATTTCTCCAAGACATTAGTTAAAGTGCCTCAGCTCCTGCCCTAGATCCCAGCAACTGAGAAGACTGAAGCACAGAGCACGAAGCCATCATCAAAGATAGTAAAAAACATCACCTCCCTCCACAGCCACCTAGGAATTTGAATCACATGAATAAAGGATAGATCTTGAGTCAATAAAACATTGTTTTATTTCTAACATTAATGTACTGATCACTAGAACTATATGGTATCAATATGTTAGGGAAATCAGCCTTGCTATATGATACCCAGTTTCTCTTCTCAAGGCATCATTCAAGTTCTAAATGGTATATTATTTAAGTTCATTCTTACAGGGAAAAGGTTCCAACAGTGTAGAGGAAGATGGGATATTTTTCATTCTTTGATAAAAAATGATGGCTAGAATTCTCTTCTTGCTCCCTATCTACCAAAAGCAGGAATGATAAATGTGTGTGACACTTTACATTTTCATATCCTCTTTCTCTTTTAATCCTTTATGTTGTACTGTGATATAGATGTTAATATTCTCATTCAGTAGATGACGAATCCAAATATCAAATTTAATAAACTGCCAAGATCACACAGCTAGTAAGATGTATAAACTGCAACAGAAAAACTGTAGTGTGAGTGCATTTGTATGCTTACCTTTCTGATTCTTTAGCACCTTTTTTCTTTTTTTCTTTCAATGCCAAAAACTTGGGCTTCCAAGATTTTCCTTTATCTTCATCACTGAGAAGAAAAATATTTTGTGCAACTAAATTAAGATTGAACTAAAGTCTTCATGGAAACATCAATACTTTTTGGGCAACTGTGTTTTACCAAAAAATTAGAAAGTCATCTTGAAGCATGTTTTGATAATCTATGGCAAGGCCAGAGAGTAAATATTTTAAGCTTTGCAAGCCATGCTGTCTATTGTAACAATTTGACATTGCCGTTGTGACTGTATTCACAAAAACAAGTGTCTGGCCATATCTGGCTCCCAGGCCGTAGTTTGCTAACGCCTGATCTGTGGCAATCCAAATTTGAAGCCAGAATCTGAAAAATAATAGATATACATATAACTGAATTGCTTTGCTATACACCCAAAACTAACACATTGTAAATCAACTGTACTCCGATATAAAATAAAAATCAGAAAACAAAAGCAAATTAGAACCCAGAAGCAAGAGATCAACTTGTTCATAATCATACTTTCTCTCCTTTCTGAGCCTGAGTTTCTTCACCTATAGAACATGAATGATAAAATGGACCCTCACTGTGAAACAGGACTATCCCAATTATGTTTAGCAGAAAAGAATACAAAGAGTGGAGAGGGTATTATGGAAGAAACAGTATTTTTGAGCACCTGTGTGTCAAGTCTTATGCTTGGCATTTTACATATGTTAACTAATGTGTTTTTTACAGGAAGCATTGCAACAATCAGTGTTTCATAAAGTTTTACAAAGGGGGAAATAGATGATATTTGTAACTTATGATGGTCACAGAAAGGGTACTTTGAACCCAGTGACTTTGTACCAAGTGTGCTTGACAACAAAGTCTATAGTCTTTGATCATGCTTGTTGCTTTAAAACGTTTCTTCACTTGTTCAGTTCAGTCACTCAGTCATGTCCAACTCTTTGGGACCCCATGGACTGCAGCACGCCAGGCCTCCCTGTCCATCACCAACTCCCAGAGTTTAACCAAACTCATGTCTATTGAGTCGGTGATGCCACCCAACCATCTCATCCTCTGTCGTCCCCTTCTCCTCCCACCTTCAATCTTTCCCAGCATCAGGGTCTTTTCAAATGAGTCAGCTCTTGGCATCAGGTGGCCAAAGTATTGGAGTTCCAGCTTCAACATCAGTTCTTCCAATGAACACTCAGGACTGATCTCCCTTAGGATGGACTGGTGGAATCTCCTCGCTGTCCAAGGGACTCTCAAGAGTCTTCTCCAACACCACAGTTCAAAAGCATCAATTCTTCAGCGCTCAGCTTTCTTTATAGTCCAAATCTCACATCCATACATGACTACTGGAAGAAACATAGCCTTGACTAGACGGACTTTTGTTGACAAAGTAATGTCTCTGCTTTTTAGTATGCTGTCTAGGCGGGTCATAACTTTCCTGCCAAGGAGTAAGCATCTTTTAATTTCATGGTGGCAGTCACCATCTGCAGTGATTCTGGAGCCCAAAACAATAAAGTCTGCCACTATTTCCCTATCTATTTGCCATGAAGTGATGGGACCGGATGACATGATCTTAGTTTTCTGAATGTTGAGCTTTAAGCCAACTTTTAACTCTCCTTTCACTTTCATTAAGAGGTTCTTTAGTTCTTCACTTTCTGCTATAAGGGTGGTGTCATCTGCATCTCTGAGATTATTGATATTTCTTCTGGCAGTCTTGATCCCAGCTCATGCTTCATCCAGCCAAGCATTTTTCATGATGTACTCTGCATATAAGTTAAATAAGCAGGGTGACAATATACAGCCTTGACGTACTCCTTTTCCGATTTCGAACCAGTCTGTTGTTCCATGTCCAGTTCTCATTGTTGCTTCCTGACCTGCATACAGATTTCTCAAGAGGCAGGTCAGGTGGTCTGGTATTGCCATCTCTTTCAGAATTTTCCAAAGTTTATTGTGATCCAGACAGTCAAAGGCTTTGGCATAGTCAATAAAGCAGAAATAGAGATTTTTCTGAAACTCTTGCTTTTCCGATGATCCAGCAGATGTTGGCAATTTATATGTTCATCATTGATGTGAGCAAAACTGACCCTTCCTTTGTCGATCATTTGTAGTATGTGGTGTCTGCACATCAGAACACAGGAACTCTTCACTGGGTAAATTATAACCACAAGGTTACTATGTCAGAGAAATTTAAAAAGTTCTCAGTGACACTGTGTCACCATTCCCTTCAGATTATGGTCCAAGTGCCTAACAGAATACCAAGGACTCAGTATCTAACCAGCATTAAAGATGCAGCCTAGGAATATGAGATTAACATATATAGACTACTATATGTAAAACAGACAAGCAACAAAGATATACTGTATAGCATAGGGGATTATATTCTGTATAATACCCTGAAATGGAACATAATCTGAAAAAAAATAAACTGGATCACTGTGCTGTACACTTGAAACTAACACAATATTGTAAGTCAACTATAGTTCAGTAAAATAGAAAGATGCAGCTTAGCCAAGGCTTTCAAGAACTTGCCTAGGGATCTTGCCTAGAAGGCTTTCCAGGACTTGCCTAGGGATCTCCCATCACTCTTTGCTCAAGGTCCACTGCCTTTGGAGTCTATAACAAGGAGCTCAGCAGTTACTTTGGTTCGCAAAAGATGGGATCCAGACAAGCATTCCAGATGTATCTACTACAAGCTTATCACAATGCTAGGCAGAGAGGAAGTATTCAGTGAGAATTCATGCATGGACTTGTTAGGAAGGAGCCATGTGGGCAGGGAATAGGCAAAGCAAATGCCTTCTGAGCAGTTTATTTTCTTTGCTGATTATTAAGCAGTGTATTCTGGGTATTTAAAAAACTGGAAGCAGAACTAGAAGAAAGACAAATTAAGCATAATCTGACCTCTCAAAGGTCCAAGTTTCCTTCTGAACATTTTCTAAGCACTTTTAGAAACTGAATTGTGATCAAAACTGTATATATAATTTTGCATTCTGCTATTTTTCAATTATAGTGAGACCATTTACCCATGTCACTGGAAACTATTTTACATACACTTAAGTGGTCATGTTGACTAATATTCCTAGTGAATTTGGGTTGTATTAAATATTTCCTTTTATATACAGCCCTGAGATAGATATTTTATATATAATTTTAATGTTTCCTTTATTTTTTACTAGAGCTAATTGCTTGTAGCAGAATTACAGAAAGGGTTTGGGCATTGTAGATACATAGTACCATATTGTTCTTTTGGAAGAGTCATAACAATTTTTACCCCTGCTAGCCATGTGACCATTATGGTCAACTCTTTGCCTCTCTGCAACTTGTTTTAGCTTGTATAGGGATCTGGTTAGAGAGCTTAATGAATTTGACAGGACAAGGATTGCTTTTTTGTCATATCACAGGTTAAGAAACTAAGATCCAGAGAAGTAAGAGGACATGCCACAGGCCCCACTAGCACCAGACTGTAGAAGCTGTTCCAGTGTCCTTTTCAAGATCCCCCTCTTCTTCCTTTCCTTGCTGACTCTCTAGGAGGAATTCTAATGAACAAAAGGAGATGAAAAGCAGAGGTCTGGATTATCCAGCAACAATTTAATCCAGAGTTGTTTAGGCATCTCTTCAACCTAATACCTACCAGGACATGACATACAAACTACCCAAGCTTACAAGAACTCAGATATCATCTTCTGTCTCCCTCCTCATCCCAAACTGTGCTGTTTTCCATCAGTGTTCCATCTGCTACAAATGTCTTTAATAATTGATTCATCTGAGGCCATACTACAGAAGATATATTCTATCACATGAAGTAGAAATTGGTCAGGTTTTGATAGGCTTAAGTGACTTGGTAAGTATCATTTAATCATAAAGTATCTTCATTTTTTCACCATCTCAGAACACATTTTGATCATTGTTCCATCTGAGCAACTTTAATAATATTCCAATAAATATCTTGCTTCCAACCTTCCCTCCAAAGCTTTCTGCAGAAGGATCTATGTCGAGTTACTCTTACTAAAGTGTGACTCTAATTATATTGCCCTCTTGACCCTAGTTCTGGACTCCCTTATTCGGCAGTGAAAGTGTTAGTCACTCAGTCGTGTCCGACTCTTTGTGACCCCATGGACTACAACCTGCCAGACTCATCTGTCTGTGGAATTCTCTAGGCAAGAATGCTGGGGTGGGTTGCCATGACCTCCTTCAGGGGATCTTCCCAATCCAGGGATTAAACCAGTGTCTCCTGCAGCAGGAGGATTCTTTACCCACTGAGCCACCTGGGAAGCCCTATTTGGCAGTTAGGCGAAAGAATTTTCTATAAATAGGGCTCTCCCAATACAAAACTACTAGGTCCTGGATAAAGGTTGTCTGTGTGTGTGTTTGTTTTTAACAAATTGCTATACCTTGCCCTTGTATGAAATCCTGCATACTATATTCTAATAACCTCCAGCAAATAAATTGAAACTAGACAGAGCAGTAAGCAATATGCAAGCACAGAAGACAAGTCTGTCCTGAGGAAAATGCTATCAGCACCACCATATTTCAGAAGGTTAAACTTTACGTCAAGAGCAAGGTAGGAGTTAAGACAAGTCATTATAGTAGATTTTTTTTTAAAAAGCCAATTCAGCTATATTTTATTTATACAAGACACGGTGAACAAGAATATGGAAATCAGAAAAAAGCTAAAAAATGTATACTAGGGAAATACTAACTAAAAGATCAAGGTAAAGATCATGAAAGATCAAGATAAAGTATCACTAGGAAATTAGCTCAGTGTTGCAGTGAAGAGAATGGATTGGGAGTCCAGTTGCCAGGGTTTGAATCCTTATTGGCTGTGAGCTTGGGCAAATAACCTAACCTCTGTGTCTCCACCTCTTTTTTTTTTTTTTTTTGTAAGGATGGACTTCTATTTTTTGTTGAAAGTCTTGAGGACTACAGATTACAAGCTAAAAGTAGATCACTATGTAGAAACATAGTGAATACATTTTGCCTGTGTATAAAAGCTTTATCACTACAATATTGTAAAGTAATTAGCTTCCAACTAATAAAAATAAATGGAAAAAAATAAAAATTAAAAAAAATATAAAGGAAAAAAAAAACTTTATCAAAGTCATTCCTTTAATAATTTCACCCCATTCACAATGGTATCAGTTTTAAAATGCTCTTCTTCATAAGGTTATTATACCTTTATTTCAAAGTATATTACATGTTATTCCCTCAAGATAAACTTTTAAACACCAAATTCTTGACTCATTAGAATGGTACCTGTGAAAGGGTAATTCCCACTCAGTCTGTGATGGCATTATTCCAAGTTTGTTTTTTCAGCAATCAAAAAAGCTTTCAAAATGTTCACTTTGAATATGAAGTCTCCACCAAAAAGCGCGGCCACATTTCGTTTTCTTACAACTCCAATTTTGTATCCCAGGGCTCTCCTCCATCTCCTGCCAAGGCGACATTTCCCGCTCACAACACCACTTCCCTGACCACGTGACTCACGGACCAGTGAAGCTTCCCAAACACACGTGTCTTCCATTTACACAGCTGTCCACCTCTCTCCCACAGCAGACCACCCCCACTTCTCTCTCTCAATCCCCGATCTCCAGCTGACAAAAACGTTTCCTATCCTTGGTTGCTTGCTTCAGCTTGGCACAGGCTTTCCGGATCCCCTAAAAATGGAAATGTCTGCCTATTTTGACCTTAAATCATTTTGCAAATTTTTTGAAAGCAGGTCTTTCTTTGTTAACTGATTTAACAAACTATCTTTTGGTATGAGGCCACATGATACATTGGATTAGAAAGCCAAGGCCCCACCTCAGGAAGTTTCCATCTAAGAGGAGGAGACAGGGAAGAAATAAGACCAATACAACTGTGAAAAGAATGTTCTGATAAAAAGAGGTACATAACCCAAAATAGGTAAGCTCAGAGAGCTTTTGCTTCCTGGGGAAAGCAAAATTTGAATTCAGGTTTAAATAGTAAAGGATAAAGTACTCAGCCAAGCAAAAAGCATGGCAAAGTGTGTTATGGGTAGAACAATTCTTTCCTTCTTAAATTCTAACCTTAGAAAGCCTTTCCCCAGATATCTATCTACCCTAAAACGACTGTCAGCCTCCTCTCAACCCACATAGCATATTCCCAGTCTCTTTCGAAATATCCAAAGCAATCAAATTCTTATGTTTAATTATCCATCATTTATTTATCTGTCTCTCCAGTCAGAAAGGAATAGGAATTATAGCTGTCTGTTCACTGTTTTGTACCCAACACTTAGCACAGTGCCTGGCCCATAGTACCTGCTCAGTAAATATCTGTTGGATGAACTGAAGCAGTTGGGGCAAACATGACAATTTAGACATGCTGGATAGCGTGATGAGTTCAAGGACCACCCAGAGAATACCATATGGATGCAGCACAAGAATAATGTGGAGTGGCAAGTACAGTCGAGTCTGAGAGTTTGCCAGAACTGCATCAATAATGACTTTTATGTTTTCTTAAGCAGTTTGGATTTCATTCGGCCATTGCAGTAATGCAGCTGAGAAACAATCGGTGCTTGCCTGTGGCTGGCAGTGAGGATGGGATGCAGGAACACTTTGATAGGTTTGAGTTGTTTAGGCTTTGAGAACATTGGTTCTGCCAGGCGGTGCTTGCCATCCTCCATAGGAGGTTATTAAATAAGTGTTGTATTGAAAGGAGTTTCAAGCCTATAGATTCAAAGGTAAGAAACAAAGCTCCAGTGAGTTTTGAAACACCTACCACTGTTAGGTCATCGGTATTATTCATTGTTCCCCCTTCCTAGTGGAAGCAATATATTACAACTTGACTTTTCACCCAGTAACCAAGGATCTAAAGAGATGGCCCTCTGACCATAGTTAACAAAACATCAGGAAATGGGTTAAACACCAGCAGAGATGACCAATGCAGTAAATTGACTTACTCTGGCTGTTTTCCGTTTATGGCCACATCATCGTAGATAATAACTTCCTGAGACCTAAAGTCTAGGGTCAAGATAGGATAAAAATAGTCTGTTATTTGATACAGTTTATACAATCTCTGACTTTCCAAATTATACACAATTACTTAATTATCCACATGTATCTCTGAGCCTGTTTTATCAAAATCTGATCATAGACTATAGATAGGCTGAAAGGATCAAGAAACAAAAAAAGAATCCATTTGGGAAAAATTCAGCTGAGGATTAAAAAAGAGATGTCCTGGTATCTCACATGCATAAATATTTATGTCAATTTCATTTCATGCAGATTTATTAAAAATATGAGTTGCTGAAAGGATCATTTTAGACTGGGTTCCCATCAACCTGGAACTGGACAAAGACGTTACACTGCTAGAACAAAGGGCTGAATTTCAGGGGAAAAGACCAACTTAATAGACAGTAATGTTGATTTTTCTTCCATGGTTTTTATTTCAAACCATTGACAACTGCTTCTTTATAATAATCTTGTGTAAAATTGAATCTAACTTAGTACATAATCATAATTAGACATTTTCAGTTTAGGCTATTCAAATTCCTTGGTGCTCTCTACATAGAACTCCATAACATTCAAGTGACTCACCACTTGAACTAGTTAGAAAACTTTTGGCATAATTATTCACAATTCATGTTCAATTATTCATAAATTTGGATGGAGGTAAAATGCATGCCTGTTCTAAGTAGACTTAAAAAAAATAGACCAAGGATTATTCTGGGAGATGTAATTATACCAGGTTTATATAATTATTTGTTATTTACTGCAGCAAACTCATATTTGTGGAATATAAAATACACTCTAAGTGCCAAGTCAGAGTAAAATCAAAGCAGCCACTATCACTGGAGCCCTAACAAACAACAAAACACATGGGCCTCTTACAGAGTGTGATTGAGAGTGAGCACAGTCTATATCAGGCACCGTGCCGATTTGTGCACTATTGCTTTTACAGCAAAGCAAACAATATTCTAGTGACTCACCCTTGATTCAGTTAGTATGTATACTGGAAAGTGTTCATGTTCAAATTACTGTGTCTTAATTCGGGTGAGCTGCCTGTGGTAAAATGTAAAATGCACACACTTTGTGTATTCGGAGACTCAAGTACAAATCCTAGGTCACTAAAATATGGATGTTAGTCCAAGAGTCTTCCTACAAAGGGATAATGCATCTATTTCTTAGATGTTAATGGGCGCCTGGTCTATAGGAGGCACTTGAGAAATGTCACCCATCTTCCCCAAAGTATTACTATGATGTAAAATAGCTTCCTTGATTTTAATGTATCAGTTTTTCATTACATGTGGAATTCAGGGAGGATTACTACTTCTTTCTCAGACTGAAAATGTCAGTGCTGAGTAATTTTGTTCCAGCAATAAGCAAATGTCACTTACCTAAATCAGGCAGCGAAAGGGAAAATGCCCTGTTAATTGACAAAAGACACAAAGGGTTAAGGGAAAAGCCATATTCCGAAATGTTCATTGATACATCTCAAACAACACAGTGATGACTAGGTTTCTTGATTTGGATGCTTTTGGGGGGAAAATGTCAATATGAAGCAAACCTTCCCTGCAGCTTTATTCTGAGCGCCTCTCCCTCTCCTGTAAATGGGCTCATTTACCCCCAGTGATTGTCCTTACCCACTTTCCTAATGGGGCAGCCTCAGGCTCTCTCACAGCCCTTCTCTGTCCATAGGATCCTGTTTCTCCCTTCTAACCCTCCAGGGTGCCAGTCAGATGCATCCACTGTGTGGGACACAAGGTAAGAGAGATGACCCTCTGGAGACGCTGGACAGGTTTAACCAGAGGGGTGACTTAAGGGGAGAATTCCAGGCCAGGTGGAAACAGAAGATGCTAAATGTGCCAAGTAGGGGAGGACACTTGGCTAAGTAGATTGTCCAGTTTTCCTCAAATCTCATAGTTAAGGAGATCAAAAGGAAGTATGATGTGGTAGAAAAAAAATTCATGTGTTTTAAGCAGTTCATTTAAACTCAGTCCTATAGGCCTGGGGACAAAAGGTAAACATAGTTTTGTGATATCTTGGTATGTCTCCATGGCAATAATTAAAAATTTAAGGCAAAGAGGCAAATTTTGGCAAAATTTAAGGGGAAAAGATCTTTTCAGACCTTACTAAAAATGGCAGATTTTCCCCTGAATGTAGTGAATTTACCTCTATAGAGATGTGCAGACACAGAGATTTGGCCTCTCAGGAACAGCTGCAGAGAAGCTTGTGTAGTAGGTTGGACTAGGTAATATGGACCCTTCTTACCCTGAGATTCTCTGACTGTAAGGAAAAGGATTTCTTGTAATAGATCTTACAAGATTCGCACAGGATGTTTGGAAACACAGAAGAGAAACCGGTAATACAGGTTTGGGACTCATGGAATGCATCCCAGAAGGGATAATATTTGACCAAATTTTAAGAGAAAGCTAGAACTCTGATAAAGGAAGACAGAGAAGCACAGATGCATTTCAGACCTATGGATGTCATGGTTAAAAGCAAGGAGGCATGAAACACCAGGGTTTACACATAGGGTATGTGTTATGGGGTAGAGCTGAGAGTAAATCTGAGTAAGATGGAGCTGGACAAGTAGGAAGGGGACTGCCATAATAGTATTTACTTGCAATGAAAAAGGATTGGATATTTGTTCTAAAAGTCATAAACAGTCACTGAATAGTTTTAAGGAAAAGGAAATCACATTTACATGTAAAAAACATCAGCATTCTCACCTGGATTTAATTTCTAAGGGGCTGCAGGCACCATGCTAATAATTTTTGTCAGAAACATCTAACCTGCTAAGTAAGGTATGCCTTTAAGGGTCTCACCGGCCACTAGAACTAGACTCTGTCTTCCATGTTTAGGACTGTTTAGAATTTGTAAACATCATATACTATATAAATATCTTGGTAGATCTATATCCAACATACAATTAGACTTAAGTTCATGTTACTTCAAGGTTTTATAATTGAAAAGAACTTCAAGGTAAAATAACAAATTCCATGTCAATATATACAGTGACCTGGGGCAAATTATTTTACCATCCCCTGCCCTCATAAAATACAGATCTATGTCTATGTTTCTCTCCCTCCCTCTCTTAAGTGCCTTCAGAGATCACGCAATCTCCTATTATATGCTAAAAGAAACTTGGTCCCTATGGATGCAAAGTGGAAGTGACTTGCCCACGGTTGTACACTGAATAAAGGGAAGAGCTGAAACTAGAATCCGGAATCGAGGCATCGAGTCTCATTCTCCTACCCGTGAATTGTAACCTTCCCAATTCCCATTGGTAATTAGCTAGGGAGAACTTGGAGGGTCCCTTCCAGAGCTAAGACTGAGACACATGAACCATTCAGCTGAAAAGTTCATCTCCCTTCTCCACACACTACCTCTCTCAAGAGAGGCAAATTGGAATATGGAAGTATAGACAAAAACCACTGGAACCTGTAGGACTGAGAAAGCATAAAAGAATGTAATTAATAATGTAATGCTCAGTAGTAACAACAGGAATATATGCCAAGGATGACAAGGAAGTCCCTTTCCTGGACTTTTTAAGACTTTCCCTCTACCTTTGTTCACAATCTTCCCTTGTCAATTTTTTCAAAAAGGGCATTGTCACTTTCTCACTAGCATGTGTGTGTGTGTGAGTCACTCAAATACTGGCAAGGAGGAGGTAGGTGATACCCAGGGCTGTGGTTTTCGCTTCTGGTACCCCTTTCACTAGAAGGACAGGATGGAGACCATCAGCTGTGTAACTACCAGGCTGGCACTGCTAATCCTCTCCTAGAAAAAGAAATAAAAAGGGACTTTTTACCTTATATTTTCTCTTAAATTGATTTTCTTCACTTTAAGTCTATGTTTTTCTTTCTTGAAGAACCTCTGCAGTCTTTTAAGTGATGCTTTTCCATCTGAACTAAGAGGAATCAAAATATAAATAACACATAAACATATTTACAAACATAAATACTGTTTGAGAGAGTACTGGGGATGGGAAGCTGCTGTAGTAAAAACGATCAGAGACTTCAGCCTCATTACTATTAATAAAACACACCCACTCAAGGAAGAGCAGGAAAATGCCTTGTCAACCCCTATGTTCTTTTTTTAGATGCTGATAGGAATTAGCACATACCAGCTATGAAGGAAATTATTATATTTCAGTACAAACTTTCACCTACTCCAAATGGTCTTTATTTTATAGAGTTTATGGAGCAAAGTCTTCCTTTTAGAAGTCATGGCTCAGGAACTCATACGTTAGTGAAATTCTTGGCTCCTGAAATTCATATCACTGATCTTTAACTTATGGGATGATAATATAACAGTGATGCCACACTGGCTGCCTGCTTGATGATTAAAATTTTTCCAAATATATCCTGATTTTCAGGGGTGGGGGAAGGGTTAGAGAAAGTGGATGATACACCCACATCATCCCACCCAGCATAAATGCCCTATTTTCCTTTCAACCTTCAAACTTCTTGCTTTTGACTGCTGCTATTTTCCTTCCCACAATGTGCCCCTAATAACTGAATTTGATTAATAATCCTCATTTGAGCAAATATTGATAACACTGAATTATTACATATTAAATTAAGCCCCAATCCCAGAGGTAGCCTCATTAGCTTGAAAAGACACAGGTAAATCATAACCATTGATTTCTCCCTGGAAAAAAACTGAAGCATTTTATTGCTTTTTATTTATTCTTTCTCACTTACTCCCTAATGCAATATCAAAGTCTTCTACTTGGGGAGATGCACATTTTCTCAAAAGAAAAAGCAACATGCTTAAAAATTATTATATGATTATATACAATTAAAAATACCCTACTGGTAACAGTATTTTATTACAACAGCTTATCTCCACTCTCTATGAAAATTTTCCCTAAAGATGGGGTGGGTAGTGATAGAGGTCATTTCTTAAACTTCGGTTTTCCTAGACTAGCAGGAAATACCCTTAGGTATGAAGTCAACAAAAAGAGACACTTGCTCTATCTTTGGGTAGTTGCTCTTTGTTTTGTAGACATCTTCATACATTTCTTCACTATTTTCTTTTGAAATTAAAAAATATTTATAATGGTAGTGATACAGATTCATACTTGACACAAAATTATGGATACCTACCAGGTGCTGGGTACTCTGATCTTTTGTTTGTGAAATAGTTTTTATGGAAACATAGGCACATGTCTTTACAAGCAGGTGGTAAAATTCAATAAACTCTATAAAGTGTGTATAAACAAAACAAATATTTTCTTCTACCCTGTTTCCAAGTTTGTTCTCATTTAGTGAGAGAAAGTTAATTTATTAACAGATTCCTTCCTTGGCCCTCCCCCTTTGCATATTTTACATATAACAATCAGTCTACTAAGCACCAGACATTGTGCTAAATGATGGAGAAGTAATGGAGACAACCAGACACATCTTGAACAATCTTCCTCCTCACAGCATGGCTTTCACCTAATCCAACACATAGGCTTAAAATACACAGATATACTTTGAATCTACCCTGGCAATGGAGGATTTTCAAGTTCAAAACTTGATTCACATTGAGTTTAGGAGAGTCACTTAACTTCTCTATGCCTCAATTTCCTTTTTTAAAAATGAGAGTACTGTGTTTAATGCTCTCTAGACTGCTTCTCCATCTCTGACATTCTAAGAAGGACAAAACAAAAAAACAGTAGCATTTGATTATCCCTCCTCCATTACCTTTTCATTCATTTAAAAATATTTTTTTAATATCTTAACATGTGCTTGGCATTATGACATGGGTCAGGAAAAATGGTAAGTGCAAAGAAGAAAATCATCTAAGAGGGAAGACAACTAATAAAGAATCACATAAATATAGAATTATTAATAACTCTGACAAGTGCTATTAAAGAAAGGGTAATGGTAATACTATAAGACTACATACCTAGAGAATATTCCCTAGGGAATAATGATTGAGCTGAGATCAGAAGAAATATTAAGAGTCACTTAAAGGGGGCACAGAAGAGGAAAGAACATTCCAGGAAGAGGGAGTAGCATATGCAAACACTCTGCAGTGGGAGCTTAGCAAGTCAGAGAAGTTAAAAGGTCACCATGACTGCATCTCAAAGATGAAGACTGAGTATGTGTGAGAAGAGGCTGGAGGGGTAGAGAGGGACACTCAAGTCCTCTATACCATGTTAAGGTCAATTGTAAAAGCATTGGGAATATACTACAAAGCTACATTAATCAAAGTGTATGGTACTGGCACAAAAACAGACACACAGATCAATTGAACAGAATTGAAAGCTGAAAAACAAACCCACACACTTATGGTCCATTAATTGATGATGAAGAAGGCAAGAATATACAATGGAGAAAAGACAGTCTTTTCAATAAGTGGTGCTGAGAAAACCAGAAGAAAACATAGGCTCTTTGACATAAGTCTAAGGAATGTATTTTTGGATCTGTCTCCTCAGGCAAGGGAAACAAAAGCAAAAACAAACAAATGGGAGCTAATCAAACTTAAAAGCTTTTGCATGGCAAAGAGAAACATTAACAAAACAAAAAGACCACCTACTAAATGGGAGAAGATATTTGCAAATGATATGTCTGATAAGGGATTAATATCCAAAATATATAACAAGCACTTACAACTCAATATCAAAAAAAAAAAAAAAAAAGGCAGCCCAATTAAAAATGAACAGAAGGCCTAAATGGACATCTTTGCAAAGGAGACAAACAGATAGCCAATAGGCACAAGAAAAGATGCTCAGTATCACTGATCATCAAGGAAATGCAAATCAAAAGCACAGTGAGATATCACCTCACATCAGTCAGAATGGCTATTGTTAAAAAGATGGCAAAAGATGTTGGTGAGGATGTGGAGGAAAGGGAACCCTCACACTGTTGGTGGGAATGTAAATTGCTACCACTACCATGGAAAACAGTATGAATTTCCTCAAAAAATTGAAATTAAAACTGTTGTAGAATCCAGCAATTCCACTTGGGTATATATCTGAAGAAGATGAAGACACCTAATTCAAAAAGATATATGGACCCTAATGTTCATAGCAACATTATTTACAATGGCCAAGATACAGAAGCAACCTCAGAATCCATAAACAGATGAATGGATAAAGAAGATGTAGGGTACACACATACACATAAGAATACTAAGCCATTAAAAAGAATGAAATTTTGCCATTTTCAGCAACAGGGATGAACTTGGAGAATATTATGCTTAAACATACAGAGAAAGACAAATACTGTATGTTTTCACTTACATGTGCAATCTTTGAAATAAAAAGTAAAAGAATGAAACAGACTTGCAGATACAGAGAACCAATGGTTACCAACCTGCCTGTAAGTGTTGGAGGGTCTCCAGTAGAGGTGTGAGTCTGCAATGAGCTGCCACAGGGACAGGGGCACTGGCAGCGGCGGTCCTGGGCAGCACGCTGTGTGGCATAGATTCTCTTGGGGGAGGTCACCATTAGCCCTACCATAGAGCTGCCGGATGGGTGACCCACAAACTGGAGAACAAGTATAACAAAGTGCTCTTACTGTTGAAGGTTCTAGGCACCACATCAGACTTCCCGACCTGGGGATCTGGCAAAGGGACTGGAAATCCCCAGGGAATCTGAAAGTCAGCAGGATTTGATTATAGAACTTCCACAGGATTGGGGGAAACAGGGACTCTTGGAGGGCATAAACAAAACCTTGTGTGCACCAGGACCCAAGGGAAAGGAGCAGTACCCCATAAGAGACTAAGCCAGACCTGCCTGTGAAGTGTTTGGGGGTCTCCTGCAGAGGCATGACTTGTGATGGGGTCCGCGGCAGCAGCAGTACTGGGAGGCGTGGTGTGTTGCCATAAGTCCTCTTGGAGGATGTCGCCATTAGCCCTACCATAGAGCCTCTAGCTCTAACATAGAGATTGCAGTCTTCCAGGACTGGGTCACCTCAGGCCAAACAACTAACAGGGAAGGAGCACAGCACCACCCCTCAGCAGAAAACTGGATTAAAGATTTACTGTCCCCAACAGCCTGTCCCTCCCATCAGGAAGCTTGCACAAGCCTCTCATCCATCAGAGGGCAGACAGAAGAAGAACTATAATCCCGTGCCCTCCAGAACAAAAACCACAATCACAGAAAACTAACCAAAACAATCACATGGATCACAGACTTGTGTAACTCAATGAAACTATGAGACATGCCATTCAGGGCCACCCAAGACAGGTCATGGTGGAGAGTTCTGATAAAATGTGGTCAACTGGAGAAGGGAATGGCAAACCAGTGTTCTTGCCTTGAGAACCCTCATGAACAGTATAAAAAGGCAAAAAGATATGACAGCAGAAGATGAGTCCCCCAGGTCGGTAGGTGTCCAATATGCTACTGGGGAATAGTGGAGAAATAGCTCCAGAAAGAATGAAGAAGTTGAGCCAAAGTGGAAATGATCCCCAGTTGTGGATGTGTCTGGTGGTGAAAGTAAAGTCAAATGCTGTGAAAAACAATTTGCATAGGAACCTGGAATGTTAGGTCCATGAATCAAGGTAAATTGGATGTGGTCAAATAGGATATGGCAAGAGTGAACATTGATGTTTTAGGAATCAGTGAACTAAAATGGATGGGAATGGGTGAATTTAATTCAGATGACCATTATATCTACTACTGTGGGCAAGAATTCTTGAGAAGAAATGAAGTACCCCTCATAGTCAAGAAAAATAGTCCAAAATGCATTACTTGCATGCAATCTCAAAAATGACAGAATGATTTCGGTTCATTTCCAAGGCAAGCCATTCAACATCACAGTAATCCAAGTCTATGCCCCAACCACTGATGCTGAAAAGCTGAAGTTGCATGGTTCTATGAAGACCTACAAGACTTCTGGAATTAATACCCCCAAAAGATATCCTTTTCATCATAGAGGATTGGAATGCAAAAGTAGAAAGTCAAGAGATACCTGGAGTAACATTCAACTTTGATCTTGGAGTACAAACTGAAGCAGGGCAAAGACTAAAGGAGTTTTGCCAAGAGAATGCACTGGTCATAGCAAACACCCTCTTCCAACAACACAAGTGAAGGCTCTACACATGGACATCACCGGATGGTGAATACCAAAATCAGATTGATTATATTCTTTGCAGCCAAAGATGGAGACGTTCTATATAGTCAGCAAAAACAAGACCTAGTGCTGATTGTGACTCAGATCATGAACTCCTTATTGCAAAATTCAGGCTTAAATTGAAGAAAGTAGGGAAAACCACTCGACCATTCAGGTATGATCTAAATCAAATCCCTTATGATTATACAGTGAAAGTGATAAATAGATTCAAGGGATTAGATTTGATAGAGTACCTGAAGAAATATGGATGGAGGTTCATAATTTTGTACAGGAAGTGGTGACCAAAACCACCCCAAGGAAAAAGAACTGAAACAAGGCAAAATGGTTTCCTGAGGAGGCCTTACAAATAGCTGAGAAGAGAAGAGAAGTGGAAGGCAAAGAAGAAAGGGAAGGATACACCCAACTGAACTCAGAGTTCCAGAGAACAGCAGGAAGAGATAAGAAAGCCTTCTTAAGTGAATAATGCAAAGATATAGAGGAAAACGATAGAATGGGAAAGACTAGAAATCTCTTCAGGAAAATTATATACCAAGGGAACATTTCATGCAAAGATGGGGCACAATAAAGGACAGAAATATCAAGGACCTAATAGAAGCAGAAGAGATTAAGAAGTGCAAGAATACACAGAAGAACTGTATAAAAAAGTTATTAATGACCTAGATAACCATGGTGGTGTGGTCACTCACCTAGAGCCAAACATCCAGGAGTGTGAAGTCAAGTGGACCTTAGGAAGCATTACTACGAACAAAGCTAGACATGATAGAATTCCAGTTGAGTTATTTCAAATCCTAAAAGATGAGTTGTGAAAGTGCACTAAATATGCCAGCAAATTTGGAACTCAGAAGTGGCTACAAGATTGGAAAAGGTCAGTTTTCATTCCTATCCCAAAGAAGGGCAATGCCAAAGAATGTTCAAACTACCACACAATTGTGCTTATTTCACATGCTAGCAAGGTCATGCTCAATATCTTTCTAGCTAGGTTTAAACAGTACGTGAACTGAGAACTTCCAAATGTTCAAACTGGATTTAGAAAAGGCAGGGGAAACAGAGTTCAAACTGCCAACATTGTTGGATTATAGAAAAAGCAAGAGAACTTCAGAAAAATATCTACTTTTGCTTCGTTAACTATGTTAAAGCCTTTGATTGTGTGGATCACAACAAACTGTGGGAAAATCTTAAAGAGATGGAAATACCAGACCACCTTACATGCTTCCTGAGAAACTTGCATGCAGGTCAAGAAGCAACAGTTAGAACTGGACATGGAACAATAGACTGGTTCAAAAATGGGACAGGAGTACATCAAGGCTGTATATTGTCACCCAGCTTATTTAACTTCTGTGCTGAGTACATCATGTGAAATGCTGGGCTGGATGAACCACAAGCTGGAATCAAGATTGCTTGGAGAAATATCAACAACCTCAGGTATGCAGATACTACCCTAAAGGCAGAAAAATGAAGAGAAACTAAAGAGCCTCTTGGTGAAGGTTGAAAGAGGAGAGTGAAAAAGGTGACAAACTCAGCAGTCAAAAAACTATAATTATGGACTCCAGTGCCATCATTTCATGGCAAACAGATGGGGAAAAGTGGAAACAGTGGCAGATTTTCTTTTCTTGGGCTGCAAAATCACTGAGGATGGTGATTGCAGCCATGAAATTATAAAAAGACACTTGCTCCTTGGAAGAAAAGCTGTGACAAATCTAGAAATCATATTAAAAAGCAGAGACATCACTTTGCTGACAAAGGTCAGTATAGTCAAAGCTATGATTTTCCAGTAGTTATGTATGGATGTGAGAAAAGTGAAGTCGCTCAGTCATGTCCGACTCTTTGCGACTCCATGGACACCAGGCTCCTCCGTCCATGGGATCTTCTAGGCAAGAGTACTGGAGTGGGTTGCCATTCCCTTCTCCAGGGAATCTTCCCAACCTAGGGATTGAACCCAGGTCTCCTGCATTGTAGACAGACGCTTTACTGTCTGAGCTACCAGGGATGTGAGAGTTGGACCATAAAGAAGGCTGAATGCTGAGGGATTGATGGTTTCAAACTGTGGTGCTGGAGAAGATTCTTGAGAGTCCCTTGGACAGCAAGGAGATCAAACCAGTCAATCCTAAAGGAAATCAACCCTGAATATTCATTGGAAGGACTGATGCTGAAGCTCCAACACTTTGGCCACCTGATGCAGAGTTGACTCATTGGGAAAGACCCTGATGCTGGGAAAGATTGAGGGCAGGAGGAGAAGGGAGTGACAGAGGATGAGATGGTTGGATGGCATCACTGACTCAATGGACATGAGTTGGGGCAAACTCTGGGATATAGTGAAGGACAAGGAAGCCTGATGTGCTGCAGTCCACAGTGTTGCAAAGAGTTGGACACAACATAGTGAATGAAGAGCAATAACAGTGGTTACCAGAGGGAAGAAGAGGGGAGGAAGGGGCAGGCTGGGGAGGATTGGAAGAGCATTAAGGTATACAAACTGCTAGCTACAAAATAAACAAGATATAAGATAAAGGATATAATATATAGCACAGGGACTATGACCAATATTTTATAATAACTTTAAGTGGAGTATAATCTATAAAAATATTGAATATACTGTGTTGTACACTTGAAACTAACATTGTGAATCAACTATACTTCAATTAAAAACATTGAGAATCCATAGAAGTGTTTTAAATAAAACATATTCTATCATCAGTCTTGGATTGTGAGGAGATCAGAAAATTTCATACCAAAGTTGCTTCCTTGTCACAGAACACCCATTACCAGAATCTTCCTGATTCTAAAGGCACCTATTCACACATACCTTGAACCACTTCTATTAGTTTATCATCACTTCGCCCAAATGGCATTAATACAAGTATATAAATATTAGATACCTTATTACTAATGTGCCACAGAAACTCAGCAACTCCTACTGACAGTTTCAAATATCTTCTTATACTTACCATTATGTGAGATAAATGAGTTAGAGAAATCCGACTTTGCTCTATGGGGAGAAAAAATACAAAGACCACTGACCTATTGTGTTGTAATTTTTTTTTTGGCCGTGCCAGCATTTGTGATCTTAGTTCCCTGACCAGGAATCAAACCCATGCCTCTTGCATTGGAAGCATGGAGTCTTATCCACTTGGCCACCAGAGAAGTCCATGTATTTTAAAGTCTCAGCACATTCATTTCGCTGCAGGGCTGAAATGCTTACCTCCTACTCCCAGAGCACTCAACATCATCATAGTTCTCTGAAGTGGAATTTGGCTTAACGGCTCCTTGGCCTTGGGTTTCTTTATTCATCTCCAAGGCCTTCACATAACCACCTGCAAGGAAAACAGAGGACCCCCGAGAATATTTTATCAACCACTCTCCTAAATGCATTCACGTACATCAAGAATAGAAAAAGTCATATTAAATATTCTAACACTGGATTATAACTTTGGTTTGGATGATCCTGTGGCAAACCACTTCACCTTACTGAGCCTCAGTTGTGGTTCTCTCAAGCTGGGATAATGATGGTAACCCCTACTCTTAGATGACTGTGGCAAGGATTAATACATTTTCATGAACGGTGCTAATTGCCCAGTAAGCCAATGACCCCTCCTCCTTCCTGGAGGGTTCTTCCTCTAATCCCCAACCTCGAATGCTGATGTCTGCCAAGGTACAGCCCCTGGGGTTTCTCTTCCTACATTTAGATGCCTTTATCTAGTTTTGGAGCATTTTTTTTTCCTTAAAGTAAAATTTCTTAGGTTGACTGAGTACATGCCAACATTTATTATTCATTAATGATAGCAACAGCGAGATAGTATGCCAGGTTGAAAAATGTCTAGGGATTGTTTGCACAAGTAGCTAGCCTGTTAACTGCAGAAGCTGGTTTATTTCACAGGGCTGTAAACTTGTCATAGCCATAAAACTGCCACCTTTTTATCAGTTGGCATAGGTTAATATTTAGAGCATTGGTGATTCAGAACCATTTTCAGATATGAACTATTAATCAGAAATAAGTAGTAATATATCTGATAAACAGCAACAGGCACATTGAATTTTGTCTGTTAATTAAAAGCACCAGACAACAAGATTTTATCTTCTGATAAGAAGTCAATTAGCACATCAGCCCCAAACCATCTCAATGAATGTCAGCTCCCAGAGGCACAAAGGCCCTGCTTTTCCTTACAGAGTTATCAGTAAGTTTCTCTAGCACAAATATTTTTTAAAAATGAAGAATCCACTTATTTTTTTAACTTTTAATTTTATAAACAAAGATGCCTGTATTTCAGGATTTTTTTTCTTTCTTAATCTTTCCTTTTGGCTGAAGCAAAATTTTATGGCTTCATTTTAAAAACATAAAGAAAGAAGAAAGTGAAGTTGCTCAGTCATGTTCAACTCTTTGCAACCCCATGGACTGTAGCCTACCAGACTCCTCTATCCACGGCATTTTCCAGGCAAGAGTACTGGAGTGGGTTGCCATTTCCTCCTCCAGGGGATCGTCCCAACCCAGGGATCGAACCCGGGTCTCCCGCACTGCAGGCTGACGCTTTATTGTCTGAGCCACGAGGGAAGCCTTAAAAAAACATAGACAACTCCCAAATTTACATCTCTAACCTAGACATCTCTCTCATGAGTTCTAGATACCTCATCACCCTTCACACTGCTTCCATTTGGTTGTCTCAACATATTACGTTCCAAACCAAACTCTTTACTTTCTGAAAATGTGCTCATCCTGAAGTCGGCCTCATCTCAATGATGAGTGGCAACCCACATTTTCTAGCTGCTCAGGTCCAAAACCTTGAAGACATCCTTGACTCCTGTCTTATATCCCACCTCCAATCACAGCTATCCATCAGCTTGACTTTCACATTTATATCCTCAATCCAAAAATACACATCTCAACTCAACCATGGTACCCTCCTCCAAGCTACCATTGTCTTTCACTTAAATTATTGCAACAAACTCATAACAGGTCCCAGGTTCTTCCTCTACATTCTTCTTTCAAGACAGCAGCCAAGATGATTCTTTAAAATATAAGTCAGATCATTTCTGTTCTTGTACTCAAAACCTTTCACTGTTGTTGTTTTTTTAATATTACTTAGAATAAATGCCAATGTTCTTCTAATGGTCTACAAATGCCCCTTGTCCTTTATTATATCTCTGACCTCATCTCCTACCACAGTCTCCTTCATCACTGCTCCAGCCACACCAGCCTCCTTGCTATTCTACCAGCACATCAAATAGGCTCTTGCCCAGGATAGCTATGTTCCTTCCCCCCTTTCCCTAGAGCTTACTGGATAGATATGGCTCTGTTCTTCATCTACTTTGTGTCTTTGAGGTCATCTGTCAGCCCTTTAAAACTACAACATCCACTTCCTCTATCTACTTCCCCAATTCTTTTTTGCTTTATTATTTTTTCTATATTTATTAAAATTCCACATAGTGAATATTTTATTATTTATAAATTTATCATCTGTCTCCTCTGATCAGAATGCAACCTCCATAATTTTTGTCTGGTTTGTTTACTGGTATATCCCCAACACCTAGAACAATTCTGGGGACATAAAAGGCCCTTAAATATTTTTAATATTGAATGATTTGAATGCAAAGAATTGATGCTTTTGAACTATGGTGTTGGAGAAGACTCTTGAGAGTCCCTCAGACTGCAAGGAGATCCAACCAGTCCATCCTAAGGGAGATCAGTCCTGAGTGTTCATTGGAAGGACTGATATTGAAGCTGAAACTCCAATACTTTGGCCACCTGATGCAAAGAGTTGACTCATTGGATAAGACCCTGATGCTGGGAAAGATTGAGGGCAGGAGGAGAAGGGGACGACAGAGGATGAGATGGTTGGATGGCGTCACTGTCTCAATGGACATGGGTTTGGGTGGACTCTGGGAGTTGGTGATGGACAGGGAGGCCTGGCATGTGTGGTTTATGGGGTTGCAAAGAGTCAGACATGACTGAGCAACTGAACTGAATTGAATGCATATGTCCTGTGATGAGAGAGTTTTATGCTTATAGTGTTTACTGATATTTTGAAATATATATTTAGTGTTTTATTACATACATCTTATTTGTTCTGGTTTTCCCTCATTTTCCTTGTGTTTGACTAAGATTTCTTCTCTTTTTCTTCATCCTGTTTTTCTTGTTTGTTTGGAAAGTACACATTCTGTGTCTGTCTTTTACTTTAGTAAAATTACAGCATGACAGAGAGGAAAGGACACAAATCATGAGCAGAGCTCGGTAAATTTCCCACAGTGAGTATGAGAGTCAGGTCTGCTAACAGATTTTTCCCTTTGCCCAGCACCAGGAGCAAATGAGCAAATTTCCTTCTGCTCCCTGGGGTTTGTCTTTAATGTTCTTCTTTTTTTTTTTTAATGGAAGGAAGGAGTTTTTTTTATTTTGTTCATTTTTTTTCGAAAGAGACCTATCTGTATAGAAGGAATTAGAAAAACAACTGTATTTTTTTTTCCCTCAAAACTTTCCTGTTTTCATGCCCACTCTCCTTGACTAAGCATTTTGTGCTCCTCATCACAAGTATTGCAGAGAACTATTCAGGGTGGTTAGCACAAGTTTATTACAGACTCCCTTTGTGCTTTAGCTGGTAAAGAATTCACCTGCAATGTGGGAGACCTGGGTTCGATCCCTGGGTGGGGAAGATCCCCTGGAGAAGGGAATGGCAACCCACTCCAGTATTCTGGCCTGGACAATTCCATGAACTGTATGGTCCATGGGGTCACAAAGAGTCGGACACGACTGAGCGACCTTCACTTCACTTCACTTCGCTTCACAGATTACTCAGAAGAATTTTCTTCAGACTGTTTTCAACATAGTGTAATCCCGAAATCTGTAGTGACTCTTCAAGGACAATACATAATTGCTTGAAAATGGCTTTCAGCCCCACGTTTAGGCCTCTCCTTTAACTCTTATTTACTTCAGCTTGTTTTCCTCCCTTTCCGCCCTTCCATTTTTTTTCTGTAGTCCAAATTAGTCTATCCATTTTTCATCTAAAGATGTGATTTTTGATTCAGTACTGCCTCTGTGCTTTCTCATGTGTCATTTATCTCATCAGAAATGTCTTTATTTGTCCTATTTCTTAATTTTTAAAAATTTTTTTATGGTTTAAGAGAATTTGAGGTCTATTCTTGTAAATTTATAAGTACTGAATATAGTATTGTTAACAATAGGCATAGTGCTATCCGTTCTGTGTGGACATAATTCTTTGAGGTCCCAACTTTATACAGGAGTCCCCTACTGTATGGGCTTCCCTGGTGGCTCAGTGTTAAAGAATCCACCTGCCAATGCAGGAGACACAGGTTTGATCCCTGGGTCAGGAAGATTCCCTGAAGGAGGAAAAGGCAACCCACTCCAGTATTCTTGCCTGGAGAATCTCATGGACAGAGGAGCCTCGTGGGGTGCAGTCCATGGGGTCACAAAAGAGTCAGATATGACTGGGTATGCACACATGCATGCTCCTACTATACACTCACTTTAGGCAGGCCCTGGGATATAGCTCTGTCCTCTGCACACCATGCAGTCAAAACAGGAGAACAAAAGATTCAGTGAAAGGCCTCAGGGCAAGAGCAGCTTTGGTGCTCACTCATTTCTCAGGGTTCCTGGTTCCTGCAGGCATATGGATACTTCTTTTTAAGTCAATTCTGTGATGCTTTAATGAATTGTCCACCCCCCCAATTTTCTTCTTCACTTTGTTTTAGTCAGAAGAATCATTAAGATTGTCAGATCTACCATACTCCCTCACTGAAGTCTGATTTATTATTTCATTCTTTCCTTTAACAAAGTTTTGTTGGTTGCAGAGATACAGAGAAAAATGTCAAATGGTCTCTGACCCCAAGGTGTTCACAGTGAACCATGGGAAACAAGCGTGTACACCATGAGTTATAAAGTAAAGCATGATGTAATTGTTTTAGAAAAGCGAATGAGCAAAGAGAACTGACAGTTATTTAGCAATGAACCAGATACTTTATATGCACTGACAAAGAGCCCTGGGAAATAAATAGTACTGTCCCCATGTGTACATAAAAGTAAGTGAACTTCCCAGGGTTGTAGGATTAATACATAGTGGTTTTGGGTCCCAGAAATGCTTGAATCTAAAAAAAGCAAATACAATCACTTTTCTGATAAAGGTCGGTATGGACAAAGCTATAGTTTTTCCAATAGTCATGTACAGATCTAAGAGTTGGATCTCATAAAGAAGGCTGAATACAGAAGAATTTAAGCTTTTGAATGATGCTGGAGAAGACTCTTGAGAGTCCCGTGGAAAGCAAGAAGATCAAACCAGTCAATCCTAAAGGAAATCAATATTAAATATTCATTGGAAGGACTGATGCTGAAGCCCCAATACTTTGGCCACCTTGCAAAGAGAAGATTTGCTGGAAAAGACCCTAATGCTGGGAAAGATTGAGGGCAGGAGGAGAAGGGGATGACAGAGGATGAGATAGTTGCATGACATCACTGACTCAATGGATGTGAGTTTGAGCAAACTCTGGGAGATAGTGAAGGACAGGGAAGGATCGCATGCTGCAGTTCATGGGGTCGCAAAGAGTCTGACACGACTTAGTGACTGAAGAATGAAAACCTAATATGGAAAACTGGTCATTCCATTGCTGTTTTGGTGTCCTGGAAACAGAGAGGAGTGAGCAATTATGGTCCCTGGAGAGTGGGAAAGTGGAGTATAGATGTAAGGAAGGTAAGGAGGGCCTCACAAGAACTGGTTTTGGAGATAGATCCTGAAAGATGGCTAAGACATCAGCAGCTAGAGGGTGGGCAGAAAGGCATTTCAGACACAGGAAAGAGTTCAGCAAAGTGATGGGGCACTTAAGCACATGACACAGTCAGTTAACTTAGAACAAACAGTGTGCAGGGAAGGAGGCGCATGGCAGGGATATAGTGAGTCAATCTTATGATTGTAATATATTCTCATAACTTTGATTGTAACACGTTATGACATGTCAGTGGTTTGCCGTGGCTTAATGGACTGGAGTAGACATCTGTTTTGTCTATCCAGTGTCTACTTTTTTCCCTGTGATAACCGCTCTTAACTTGTGAAATCCTTCAATCTGAAATGATACTGTTTTGATAGAACTAATTCTGCCTCCAGCTCCAGATGTGAATTTATGACATAGGCCTGGGTCAGTCAGAGCATCCTATCCCACATTCATGATGATTGGATCGAGATTGGCTGGTGACACAATCAAGCCAGTAAGACTCAAATCTGGGCCTTTTCTTGAAACAGTTGAGAGGATAACCACTTCCAGATTTCTGTTGGGGTTCCTAAGAGGATAGATAGCATGTAAATCTGTCACTTCCAGGTGCCAACTTGTCTCCACAAGGGTAGAGTTGCTTGAAGATGAAGCCAAGAGGGAAGGGGACAAAGCCAGGAGCAAAAAAAGGAACACTGATGCTGTCTGTGTCCCTGAGTCCAGCCTTGTCCAGACCGTCTGCTAGGTGAGCCTCCTTCTCCTCTTCTGCTTAACACAGTATGATTTCACTACAGTTACTTGCAATCACAAGTTTTGACTCACATGAAGATAAAATTCAACCTGAATAAAGTCAAATAATAGTGTCATACTATGTCATCAATGTGTCAATGTCTTGTGTCTACAAAAAAGAACAGGTTCTGGGAGATTAAGAAGAAATGAGTAAACATTCAACTGTGTACCTATTACGCAAAATACTGTCAGATTTGGTCCGTGCCAAACCCCAGTGAGATCTATATTATAATCCCTTTTTATAAATGAAGAAATTGAGGAATATGAAGGATTATGTTACACAGCTAATATGTATAAGAGCCTTTATTTGAACTCAGGCCTTCTACCTCTAAATCTAGTACAGCTGCCTCACTCAGGCAAGTGACTTGATGTATAATAGATGCTAGGTGAATATTTATAAAATCAATTAAAATCTTGGTCACGCACAGCTTTAAAATAATTCAGTAAGGGTAAAAAGAACCAGGAAAAAATGAAACTCACAGTAGTCTACGGAATGCCCGGCCAGCTGGAAGTCCTTAGGGCAAGCCTCCACCCGGATGATGTCCATCGCAGCATCCTGCTTTCTGGCCGGCATGGTTCTCCCACCTCTGTGGTCTTCTGCCATCTGGGTTTTCCCAGGTATCTCTTCATAGATATCCACCTAAACACAAGCAACAAGGACAGTCCGGCACTGTTTTGACTTAGCTATTGGCTTTTTGCTTACTAATGCTGTTCTGTATTCATTCATTCCTCCCAGCTAGCCATTGTTTGTTGTTTTATTTAACACAATCTCATTTCTCTAAGTTTCACAAGGGCACATACAATGTCTTTTGTTCCCCTCTGAATAGCCATAGATGTCTGGCTCGGAGGCAGGCCCACAGGATGCAATCAGGCTATAATGACAGACTGACCATGGAATAGGCTCTTAATATATCTTATCTTACTTGATCTTCATGACATCTTATTCAAAAAATACCATGATTTCTCTTGATAAAGAATTTAGAAAGGTTAAATAACTGGCCTCTGGTCTCACAGCTAGTCATCTGCCCAGGCAGGACTGGATCCCAGAGCCCTGTGCTCTTGGCTACCAGGGATTCACTGAAAAAGGGCGCATCCATGTTTTGCTCTTTCATGGTCAGTATCCTCAGTCATATCAGATTTCTCTGGTGGCTCAATGGTCAAGAATATACCTGCAGTGCAGAAGCTGCAGGAGATGTGGGTTCAATCCCTGAGTCAGAAAGATTCCCTAGAGGAGGACATGGCAACCCACTATAGTATTCTGGAGGATCCCATGGACAGAAGAGCCTGACGGGCCACAGTCCACAGGGTTGCACAGAGTCGGACACAACTGACCGACTGAGCGTGCACACTCTGCTGCCTTGCTCATCATGAAACGTCCCGATAAACCCCTTCCTGATCTCTGGTCTCACCACCCATCTCAACACGTCATGCCACTCCCGTCTCTGGTCCCTACCTTTCATTATTAATGACTTCTCTGAATTATGCTGCTTTTTTATATTCTGTAAACACTCAACCTATTCCAGCGGGGCCCTGGGCCTACACCTCAGTTCAGGCCCGTACCACCACCAAGATGTCTGATTTACCCAAGCCCTGCACGTGGGACTGGAACAATTTGATGTTTATGTGATAGGCACATCTCAAACAGGCATCCCAGGTGTTTGGAACCCTGGTAATAGCCCCGGTGGTGTCTACTGTTTAAGCCACTGACCGTTTTGAAGGAGATAGCGTCCACTGGATGTGGATATACACATATACAGTGTTTCATATCAACAAACAGTGTTAACTGATCAGTTAATTAACAACAATATACTTCATTTTCATGGTAGCTTACAGCTTACAAAGCAGCTTCGTCTACATTATTTCATTAACAAAAATAAGACAATTAGGATAGGAGTGGGGATGGTAATCAGATAGAGGTTATTTATTCTCATTTTACACATGAGATGCCTAAGCTCAGAGATTAAGTCCCTCTTAAGCAGAGTCTCAGAGCACAGAACTTCAGGAGGCCCTCCCCAGGTTCTACAAGAGCAGGGTGGGCACCTGAGTTGTCTCTTTGAATTTGCCCTCCGGGTGTCTCGCTGAACTCATACTAATCTCAGCCCGGTTTATGAGACCTGCTTCACAGCTAATAAGTGAGAAATCAGAGGCTTCAGTGTTCTTGTCCCGACAATTTCTTTTGTAAGACACCCACCACCCACTTCATCTTCTGTCTTTCTGGAGAGTTGTATGGCTCAGCCTCTAAAAAGTCACTCCATGAACTGAACCTATTATATGGATGACCTGGACTGTTTGATCTGGAACCCTGGAATACAGATACCTTGAAAAGATGGTCTAAGTGTAGATCTTCTGTGTTTTGAAGTTTCAATTGGTATGGTTGTTTTTCCTTCATTTGTTTGTCTTCATCTTCGGGTCTGAAATGTGAAGCAATACCAGGGAAAAAGTGAAGACGAGAGAGTTTTGATGATAGTGTACCCCTCAATCCTAAATGAAAGGATTGAGGGAAATGAATTTAAACAGAGCTGAACCCTCCTCTTCTTTTCCCTCCCTTTCTCCCTCCCTTCTCCCTCCCTTTCTCCTCCTTTTCTTCTTCTTTAAAGATGAGAGGACCAAGATCAAGTCAACCATAGAAAATTTCCCCGAGTTTCTGGCAGTTCCAACCAATGCCAGAGTGAATTCCTGCTTAAAAATCTAACTTCCCATTGGCTGATGGATAAAATATCAGCCCCACTGTGATTTGGCCCCACCTTTCTTTCCAACTCCATCCTCTCTGCTTCTTCTCTCCAAGTTTATGCTAATCTACACTCTAATTCCCCAAACTTTCCATCTTATTTTGAGCAACTCTTCCTTCATATTTGCTAGTTCTTTTTTCAGTCATGCCTTCCACATCTTACACTGCAGAGAAACAGAGCACCCTTTCCAGTCTCTCTAAATCAGCTCCTCTCTGAGAAGTGTTGTCTGACTCTCTTTTACCCCTCTACTTTATATTAAAACGTACAGTCTACAGATCTGCTTCTGGCTCTTCCATTTTTCCTTGACACTACCTAAAAATCAGAGCTCTGTTAATTCATGTGTGTGCCCCCAGCACTAATGCTTTGTAACCCACAGTGGCAAAGTCCTCCAGCTAGCATTCCCTCATGAAAGGCGTGACTACCACACACCTGTATGTTGACAATAGCTGCAGAGGAGGAATAGAGGGGGAGTATAGTCAACGAGCTGAGGACCGGGAACAGAACGCCGAGGAGCACCAGCATCCAGATGCGAACATCTGTTTCTGGCAACACAGTGAAGCAGATAGTTCTACAACCACTTTTACATGGAAGGCAGAGACAGAGAGCCCTCAAAGGAAAGCAGAAGAGGTGTTCATACAGGAAGGAGAAATACCAGGAGAGAGAAATATTCTGTGACAATGGGAAGAATTTTAAAGAGTTTCATTCATCCAATGATTGGTGACTCTTAACCACCATTAAGGCCACCAGTTCTAGAACAGAAGCTGTGTAGGGAGGGCTGGGATCCAGGCCCTATTCCGCCTCCAAAAACCTAAGATGAACCTTTCTAGAAGTCAAATGTTTCCATCTGTAACTGAAAAGTCACAATGAGGGTCTCCACAGTTTCCATGAAAGTGAAATGTGATAAAAACGAAAGCCTAACACTGCTTACAGCATGTAATTGGCTCCATAACTGTCAGTGTCCTTTTCTTCATCACAGCATCTGCTGAGTTAGAATTACCCAAGGCTTCTCTTCCCATTGCTGACAGTTTTCCTAAGGCATTTACCTGCCTTGCTGATGGACATGTCCTTTGTAATCCATCTTTCTATCCCCCAGGTTTTGTCCAGTAGTTTCTACATGGCTGGATCTCCATAAACAACTGTCAAATTACATTGAATGTTGTGACTCCTAGGAATGCTAGGGGTATACTATTTCTGCTTTAAAACTCTATTGTGGCTTCCACTGACTTATAGAATAAGGTTTAAAAATGTTTCATCCAAGAGGACACTATTCACATGTGACTTTTGAACATCTGAAATGTGTATGGTCCAAACTGAAGCTGTTCATGTAAAACACATCTGGATCTTTAATACTTGGTGTGAATAAAAAGATCTAAAATATTTCAGTGGAAACTTTAATACTGATTACATGGCAAAATGATGATGTTTAGGATATATTCGATCTTTTTTTTTTTTTTTTTTTTTTTTTTTAGAAGATAGCTACTAGAGACATTTTAAGTGACATATGTGGTTTGCATTGTATTTCCACTGGACAAGATTGCTCTGAATGGTTAATTGGGGAATGCAGGTCCTCCTGGATCTTGCTCTGCATATGACCCCTGGCCTCGTTCCTGCTGTTCCACACCGCACTTTATGCCCAGGCATCACCCAGCTCTTCATGGACACCTGTACTGGCCTCACGGTGCAACACTATGTCTTTGCCCCTCACCTTGTCCTCTGCCTAGAACATGCATCCTGCCATTTTCACCCGGCCAGTTCCTACATGTTTTTATGATTCAGCTCAGCTGTCACTGTTGGAGAAAGCATGGCTACTACATCACCTCTGTGTTTTCATAACTTTTAACAGTGATCATCTGATAATTGTAAAGTCCTACTTCCATGGTCATTTTCCCCTCCAAGTGACCCCCTCACCCCTACCACTCTGGTCTTCACTCTTAAGCTGAACTAAGAGTAGGGAATACATTCTATTCATTTCTGTACCTGAGAATTTAAAAGTGTCTGAACAGAGAAAAAGGTCAGTAAATGTTGAACTAAGTCGCTAATCATCTGACATGTGCTTACTCTGCCCAATACTGTGTTAAGTGCCAAAGGGTAATCACAGGACTCATGAATTCAAGGTCAGGCAGGAACTCAAGGACAGAGATGAAGCAGGGTTTTCCTCCATGATCCAGCTTGTGTGTTTTTAGCCTCAGCCAGGAAATGGTGATACATGTTCCTCCAGAGCTCACAGGTCATGTTTATTTTAATGCATTATAAATAACTTCCACGGGCAGGTGGTGAGAAAGACAGGCAGACTCCGAAGGATCAGGCAAAAACACTGTTACATGCCAAGCCCATGTCTGGATCAAGACGAGAAAAATGGGCCCTGCCCACAAGGAGCTCAGAGAAGGGGAGAGTGAGGAGGAACTGGCATCTTAGCAGACAAAGGATGGACATGATGTTAATGCAAATGTGTGCATGTCCTACAGCGGCACCACAGGGAAGGGACTAGAGGAGAATGAGGAAGGCTTCTTATAGGAGGGGTCATTTGATGGTTAGTAGAAGTCTGACAGATCATTAAGTTGGGCTGAATGAAGTAAATGAGCAAAGGCAAAGAGACCTGAAACAGCACAGTGTGTTTTGGAAATTGTCAATTCTTTGGGACCCATGTGATTGTCATATGCCTGTTTGACTGTATTTCTCTCACTGGGGAACCCCCAAGGGTAGTGGCTAGCTCTCTGTCACTGCCCCAGCCCTTGAAAGTGAAAGTTGCTCAGTCGTGTCCAACTCATTGTGACCCCATGGACTATACAGTCCATGGAATTCTCCAGACCAGAATACTGGAGTGGGTAGCTGTTCCCTTCTCCAGGGCATCTTCCCAACCCAGGGATCGAACCCAGGTCTCCCACATTGCAGGTGGATTCTTTACCAGCTGAGCCACCAGGAAAGCCCAAGAATACTGGACTGGGTAGCGTATCCCTTCTCCAGGGGATCTTCCCGACCCAGGAATCGAACTGGGATCTCCAGCATTGCAGGCGGATTCTTTACCAGCTGAGTTACCAGGGAACCCCCAGCCCTTGTGGTTAGCAAATGGCCAGCATGTTGGGGACTCAGCAAGCCTTTGCTGAGTGAATGTAGAATGAGCTAGAACAAGGTCAGGCCAGGCAGGACCCTTGAGCACCTTCTCTGTACCAAACACCTTGCAGGGTACTAGGGGTGCTGAACCAGGTCGGACACTAGAGACAACTGGCCCATTAAGGAAAAACAGTTCTGTCATCAGAGGGTCAGTGGCTAATTAATGCTTTTCCTTTTGAAGATAAAACTCACCTAAGTTCTTGATGGCAAAAACTCTTCGAAGCCTGAAAGTAAAGAGAAAAATGGTCATTTTCATAAATCTACCCAAGTCAAACCCCAACCAGGCCTCTGTTGTTTGGTTACAGATCATTAGAGACATGACCAAAGGGTGAGGCAAGTGAGGTCTCAGTACAGAGCAAAGTAGATGCTGAAAACAGAGTGTTTCATGAACTGTTGCCAGTGGAGTTGAAGATCAATCAAAAAACAAAACAAAAAAACAGGCATTTCTAAAGTCCCAGTACATGCCAGAGGTAATGTATAATTTGACTTAGAAAATTTAATTGTCCTCTGCATACCCATCCAGGAATGCATCTGTAGAATAAAGAACTTTTAAACCCCATGAGCAAATAGGAATTGTGATATTTGAGCAATGTTCCAGTGAGCAAAATTGGTACAGGCAAGTATGCAAGCCATGCTGGGCATTCTTCCTTTCCTGATCACATACCACCTGATCAAAAATCAGGTCGTGTGTGATCTAGACTTGGCACCATTAAATTTAGGCCCCAGTGACCACAACCTAGCCCCTCATTTAGTCATTTGTCACATATCATTCACAATCTGGAATCTAGCCAAGAACCCAAAGGAAACAGAAAATAAGCATCCAAAACGCTGCCACAGAGTCCACGTCCAAGAGCTCACATCCCTTCCTTTGGGGAGAGCCTCACAGTTTGCATTCAGGGACGACTGGCTGTCATCTTCCATACAATTCCAACAGATTGGATGGCAACACTTGTAGAAAGACAAGTTAGATGGACCTTGCTTTATATTTCTGCTATATTACTTACAGTTATTTAACTTCTCTGAGCCTTGAGTTATCATCTGTAAAAAGCAATGATGCCAGCTCACAGGGTGACTGTGAGGATTACATGATGCCAGGTATACACAGGTGAAAAAATGAAAAAGTGAAAGTGTTAGTCGCTCAGTCGTGTCCGACTCTTCGTGACCTCATGGACTGTAGCTCACCAGGCCCCTCTGTCCATGGGATTCTCCAAAAAAGAATACTGGAGTGGGTAGCCATTCCCTTCTCCAGGAGATCTTCCCCACCCAGGGATCAAACATGGGCCTCCCACACTGCAGGTGTATTCTTTGCATCTGGGCCACCAGATACACAGGTACCTGCCCCCAGACAGGGACCTGGTGTGTGCTGGACCACATGGAAACTCACTGCCGGACACAAAGAGGTTGACAGGAGAAGGAAATAACAAGTTGATAGAAATAAATTGATAGAAATAAAACAACTACAGCATATAGACAATGGCAGTTTGGTGTGAAGGCAACTCATTCTGAACCCCTACCAAGGCCTAAGAGCATCTCAAGAAAAACATAAACAGTGCCGATTCAGCCCTTATGTTTCAGAGAACTCCAAGTCATCAAGAAATGGAGAAATCAGATTCCAGCCACCAAGCTCAAAAACATGAGATGAACATAATATATGTCTGAAGGTTGAAAGAAAAATACTTTCATGTTTTTTAAATTTTGAATGCGATAAAATTGTGGTCATTTGGAAAGCTCCATTGTGCAGAAGAGTGTCATTTGCTGATACTGCCAGGTAAGTGAAGCATCTTTCTGCTTTCATTAATAGGAATAATAATCATTTCTAGTTTTCTATCTCTAAAGTGAATCACAAATTTACAATCCTTTTCAGTAATCATAAGAAAAACAAAGTGGAAAGATGAAGGACTTCGAGTAAAGGCACCCAGTGAGGAAGGAGTAGTACCTTAACTGACCCAGCTAAACAGTAAGTAAGTACCTACTGTGTGCTGAGTGCTGGACTAGGTGCTCACCTGCTTCATCCAGCTTAGTTCACTCAGCAATTCAGTGTAACAACTGTTGGTCTCATTACTTATTGAGCATCTACTACTGCACAAGGCTTATGCTTCCTGCCATTCCAGAGAACACACCATTTTACAGAAGACACAGCTGAAGCTCAAAAAGGTAAAGTGCCTGGGATAGATTCCAGCACTTACTATTAAACTGTTTACCTGAATTTACCTTTCATTCTCACAATGACTTCTGATGGGGGTGTTCCTATGACCACATGTGAGGAAATGGAGGCTCCAGTTCACATAGCCAGAAGCCAGAATCAAAGCCCGTGATTCTGCTTGGGCCCTAATCAAGTTGCTAGCACTATGCCCACCAGAAGTCCAAAAAATATGCCTTCAAAGGTCTGGTCATTCTCGTGAAAGCACATGATATACAAATCTGGCATGTGATGAGGAACTCTGCTCTCCTGAAGGGACAGTTATTAAAGGCCAGTTGGTACTGACCACCTTACATCAGGTGCCAGGAATGCGTTACTACCACCTTCTCCATCCTAACACGTTTTCTGTCACTGATCATACAGGGCTCAGACTTCAGAATTTTAGCAGGTAAAGTCTAAAAATGCCTCTGAAATTGAAGGGAAACACAAAACAAAGAGCTTTTCTCCCTCATGAAAGAAACTACTTCAGAATCAACTCTGCACACTTGCTTTAGCTATGAAGCTGATAAGAAGAAAAGAAACTCTACCTTTTGGAGTTCTTCAATTCTGACTTCATAAGTTGCTAAAATAAACATAAGACAATTATTTCAAGGCAATTTCTCATAGCATTCATTTCTTATACAATACCCCAGATTAAAGCAATTATAGACGGTGGCAGAGTTCAATATTCTCAACCCTCAGAACAATCAATGTATGGGAAACTTGTCCACAAGGTTTAGGAAATTCTCAGGTCATTGATCATGGTATCCTTCCTTTGGGGATTTCTAGGATGGAAAGTACAGTCAATGAAAACATTTGAAACAATTGTCAGTTTCCCTTGTGTTAAACAGATTCATACTTCATTATGAAGCAAAAGTACTGCAATTGAGTGGTAGCAATCAGAAGGCAGACTTGAAAGGAAAGGGAAAGGAAATAAGGCCACAAAAGCCCAGGTCCCACTTCATCAAACCCAACTCTACAGTATGCCTAAAAGTGGCTCCATAAGCATTTTGTTTCTATAGTACAGCCGGCTGTCAACTAAGGCTCAAATACCTTTCAATTTTTCCAAAAGTTTTGTGGATTTTATTTAATGACATGATGCCAAATTTAATCATTAATTAATCCAAGTGGTAGCAAGAATTGGGGTTCAGAGCTAAGTCCTGCCACTTCCTACCTTTGGCATTACAGACAAATTACTTCCTTTTACTTCCTTTTTTTGAACCTCAGATCGCTTATTGGTGAAATGGAGCCAACTGGTATCTGCCCTCCAGAGTTCATGGGAAGATTAAAGCAGATGATGTAAAATGATGTAAACCTAGCAGAGCACCAGAGATTGTATAGAAAATGATATTTTTAAAATAAAATTGCTAATTTAATTTTTCTTTGCTTAAAAGTTTTCTATAAACATTTCACCTACATTCACCGATAGTGAATACCCGTACATAATAAATAAGACTTACCCTGTTCCTTTTCTCTTTCTTGCTGCTGGAGTCCTAAAGGTTTAGTTTGTAGAACTGACCAAACAACAACACACATTTCTAAACCACTTTTACTCTACACATACAATTCATTTACAAATTATTTAAATGAAATCAGTTTCTCTTTAGGGACTATCTGCATGTGATTATTGACACAAGGACCTAAAATTCTGTGTGGCAGATTAATAACCTGTACTTCAACTTTGGTAACTATAGATTATTTTCACCAATTTTTGAATCAACACATTTTATTCTATTACTTGCTTTAAAAACAGTTAAGAATATCTGCTTATGATACAGTTGGCCTCATCCTTTTCAAGTATGGATTTATTTTCTAATTTTAAAAAATGATAATTTCCTTTTCTCTCCCTCCTTCAATTTATTCACCCTTCTGTGTTTTTAAAAGAATTAATAAATCACAATATCTTTGCTTCTACCTATCACCTGATGGGGAGGGAGATTTTATTATTCTTAGAAATGAGAAAGCCAAGGCCCAGAGAGAACTTACTTGCTAAGGCTAATAAAAAAAGATAATACACACACAATTAATAATGCATTCATAACTTGATACTGTTTTTTTTTTTTATTTAAACAAAGTGGAGGTTCTCTCAACAGTAAGTGTTGCCATCAAAACTTGCTCCCAAGGTAGGAATATAAAGTACAGACGACCACACCTCAGGGGGTCAGGAAAGGACTAGGAATTATAATAGGAGGATATAACCCAAAGTATCAGAGCCCTCACTTAGTTTCCACAGGGAATTCTATAATTCTTTCCACTGAATAGCTTTGTCCCATCTGGGAGAAAAATGACAAATGTCAGAAGATGGTCTTCAGCAACCCTCCACCTGTACTCCAATATGGTACACTAGTACCACACCATGGTCATGTCTTCCAGACCCTCAGCTCTTCATCCAGACTAACTAACTGGGAAATTCCCTGTGTGAGTTTCTAACTCCCTGCGTCACTTTGGAAAAGTCCCTTTCCCATGTTTTACACCAGGAGGTGAGACAATTATTACTAATATTAGAACAATAATAAAAAAAAATAGCTGACAGTTTTTGTTGTTGCTGTTGTTTTCACGATAATCACTACTATATCTGATTTACTGATGAGGAACAGACACTCAGAAAAGTGAAGTAACTTGCTCAGGGTTTCTCAGTTAGGAAATGGCTTTCAACCTGTCTCCTAGCCATGGAATCATTCATTCATTTAAACACAATATTACAGGAGCATAAACGAAACTTCTCTGGTTGAAGTTATTCCCAGGGGTTTCCAGGACCCCTTAGGACAGCCCTCGGCCCTAGGAAGCACAGTCAGAAAGGCACTGGTCTGATGAGCTCTGAGGACAATTCCACAGAGATTCCAGAACAGCCTAAATCCTGTTTACCCATCACCCAGTCAGTATGAAAGGGTGAAGTTTCAGAAAGTCACCTGTGCTGAGCTGTGCACCCTGAGGGGGTGATCTTCTGTTTCTCTTGGCATTGTTCAAGAGACAGACTCACCCAAAGGTGATGGCAAAAGCCTCCTCCTTCCCTTTCTTTCCTTCTCCTCTCTTCTTCCTAGAAAGGCAGTATTTACAGATTTCTCACCCTTGGTGAGCAGAGGAAGGAAGAAATCCATTCTGAGCTAATTTTTTTCCCCCAAGTTTACTGATTCTTCTGTTCCCTCCATTCTGCTATTGAGCTTTTTTTCTTTACTGTATTTTTTAGTTCTAAAATTTCCATTTGTGTTTTCTTTACATCTCCCATTTCTCGGCAGAGACATCCCCTATTTTGGAATAAGACTTTTTTCTCAATCTGTTTCAATCATTATTATAATTCTCACTGAAGCATGTTTATAATAGCTGCTTTAAAGCCTTTGTCAGACAATTCTAACACTTCCGTCACCCCAATGTTGGCATCTGTCGGTCATCTCTCTTTGTTTAAGTTGAGACTTTCCTGGCTGTTGACATGATGAGTGATTTTCGATTGAACCCTGACCTTTTAGAGTATTATGTTGTGAGACTCTGGATACTATTTAAACCTTCTGTTTTAGCTAGCATGGTGGCAGGAGTGGGGAGGGCTGCCTTTTTTTTGCCAGGGGTGGGTAGAAGTGTAGGTGCCCCACTTCTTGGTCTTGCTGATACCCAAGTAAGGGAGGGACTCCTCATCACTTCTGAGCAGGAGTGGGTGCTCTGGCTCCCTGCTAAGCTTCTGCTGGGAACACTCTGGCTGGGAGGGGTGGGAGTGCTGGTTATCACTCCCAACATAGCCTCTACTGATCCCAGAGGGAGAGGGCACCTTCTTGCTGAGAGAGCATGAAAGTCTTGACTCTCCACAAGGTCTGCTCTGGTCCTATCCCAACAGGGAGGGGAAGGGACACCTTGTTATTGCTGGGTGGAGGGCTGGAGTCCCTGCCCACATGTGGTCTTCACTGACCTTCACTGTAGGTGGAGTTTGTTACCCTGGCAGGGATGACAGTCCCAGCTCCCTACTTAACCTTCTTGACCAGCAGAAGGGTTGGGGTGCATCATCACAGCCTGATGAGGGTGGATGTCCAGGCTCCCCACTCAGCCTTGGCTGGTGGCAGTAGGGCCAGTTTATCATTTTCTGTGACATTTAGCTGGGATAAAGTAGTTGTTGTCTAGAGGCTTTCTGTTTTTCTAGGCTTCCCTTTTACTGGTCCTGTGGCTAGAAAGAGCAGGTCTCTGTTGGAGCTGCTTTGTCAGTGCCCAGGGGTGTTTCTGGGTTGCCAGCTTCTTCAGCGCCAAGGCTGGGATATATGAAGCAAGAAGAAAACCCAGTGAACTCACCACATATCCTTCCTTGGGTCCAGAGGTGCCTAGCTGGTCTACCTTCTCCCTTCCACCTTTTCACAGCGTTCTAGTTTTCTTATGTTTGTATATAAAAATATACAATATAAATATACATGTATATGTTTGTTTTAAATATATAATATCCAGGGGTTTTAGTTGTACTTAGCAGGAGGACTAGGGAAAAGTATATGTGCTCTATCCTCTCAGAGAAGAGGTCTCTTGACTTTACATGTATTACCTTCTCAAGCACATGGAACAGTTAAACAGAGAAGATATTATATCCATTTAGTAGATGAAGAAACTGAGATTTGTACACCTTTCAAACAGTAAGTGTAAAGAGGATGAAATGTGGGGAAAAGTCAAATGAACATGGACAAGTGAGGGTAAAATACCCTATTTCCTTCCCTTTTTTTGCCTATAGGGTAACTATCTCTTGCCTCCTTAGAGAGGAGCAGCGAAAGGAGTGTGGGCTAAAACAGCATCCTTTCCATCCCAGCCTAAGGCTCTCTGGCTTCCTCAGAGAACCTCCTGGCAGGCTTCTAGCCTATCCCCCACAGGAAGCCATCCTGGCTGGGGAAGCCCTCACCATCCATGCCCATCTCCCTCTCTCCCTGCTTCCTATCATCCTTTGCACAGTTACCTCTCAATTGCTTCAGTGGCTTATTTTCGGAGCCCTTTCTCTTTTCAGTCATAAACACTTGTCTCCTCAGCAGCACTGAGGGATGTAAAGGATTCCTTAGTGAAAGACTAAGGAGAGGCCTGGGTTAGCGGTTCCTTCGTTGGGTACCCCAAATGATATCCCCAACAGACCCACCTTGAATATCTGTGGCCTGGAGAGAACACATGCAAGCCTCCAGTCCAGCTTCCTTCCTTCCAAACCTCAGCTTCACCCTACACACGAAGGACTTTGCCTATGTCACCCTCATCCTCTCCTGCCCCATCACAAACAGATCTCTCTGCAGCTCCATCTGTCCTGAGATGGAAGGACCCAGGGAAGAGACCCAAGCAGCATCTCAGAGACCCACCTGCGGGAGGACATCCTGGGGGGTCTCATAAAGTCCAGAGGGAAGCTGCAGGGGAGCATACCCATGGCCCTGTGAGCACTTAGCTTTGTAGGGAAACATGAGGCTGGAATGCAGTCCAAGTGGGGCTCAGAACCTTTCCATTCAAAGTGTAGTCTGGACCAGTGGCATCGGGGCACCTTTAGAAATGCAGACTCTCTGGCCCAAACCAGAGCAATTGACCCAGAATCTACGTTACAACAAGATGCCCAGAAAATTCACGTGAACATTAGAGTTTAAGAAGCCTTGCTTTTAAGGCAGGGGCCCAGGCACCCCAACTACGAGGCAGAACTGCCTTCTCGGTTGATGCATACAGGAGTTCCACTTCTTAAGTTAGTATTTTAAAAGCCAGTTTGGAGAATCGAGAGCTTACCCAATCTAGGAGAAAGTTTTTCCAGTAGTTCTTTGACCCCTTATTTCCTGGGGGGAGAATGGAAATTTCAATGGGTTCTAACTCTTACTCATGAACTTCCTAAGTACGTGTTCCCAGGCAAATTACTTCCTCTCCCAGAGCCCTGGGCTTCTTGTCTGTACAATAAAGAGGTTGAAGCAGGGGATCTCTAACTCTCCTTTCAGGGAAGTCAAACACTCTTGAATGAGAAGCAGCATAAAACTGTGGGAAAAGCATGGATCTTAGAGGCACTCTGAGCCGTTACACAGTATAGCCCTTCCACATATTACTTGTGTGACCTTATGCAGCTCAGTCTAATTTTCAGTTTTCTATCTATAAAAGTGGGTGAATACAATGGCTATATCAAAGGGCATGTGCACAGAGGACCTTTAACAGGACTGTGGCCCACAGCACAGCTCAGTAAGTACTAGAGTTTATTCTAGCACTAATATTTATGCCTATTGTAGAGAACTGGTTGATTCTATTGATATAGGCAGAACAAAGACACGGAAACCTGAAGAAATGCTGTGAGTTTCTGATTCTTCACCATCTTGCCTGAGACAGTCTCTTTTTTCACGGAAAGGTCTGAGCTTTGTCAGTAATACCAGAGACAGGAAGACCCAGCTCCAAACCAGTGGTCAGATCCATTGAATGAATCCTCTGCTCCTATTCAGGTTAAACACAAGGACCTCATTCCTCTAGTCAGCTATCTCCCTTCTCCACACACAGAGGTACCAGGGGACTTCCACACAGACACCAAGAGAAGAGAGATGAAGTTTCCATGGGAGGAGAAGGAAGAAAAGTGAATCACCATAATTTGATTTTCCCTCCCATGTATCTACAAAAGGCAAAGCGTCTAAGCAGATTGGTGAAGGAAAGCAGAAAGTAATGAGAAGGCAGCACCAGGAGCTGGGAGATAGCACTGATGCACAGCGGGGTTTATTTATATATTTAAGGGGCTAGAAGAGGGGGAGAAAAGAGAAATATGACAGTAAAGCAGCATGGCTGTTAACTTTTAAACTCAGAGTTAGCTGGGGGAAATACCATTTTGAACATATTTTCATACTGTACAGGGTTACAATACTAATTGGCTTAGCACACTTACAATCGGCAATTTTTTTTGCGGAGCACAGGTTAATGGAGCTGCTGGAGTGTCTCAGATAGGAAATTGTTGCCTCATAATTATGTGGGTCTTCAAATTCAGCACTGAGAAGTGTGGAGAAAAACAGGTTACTTAAAGCAAAACATTTTTAAAACACAGTTTCAAACTCTGGGTATTTTTTCCTTCATTAGAGAAGTAATATAAGTAAGTCTGGCCAATGTGGTGACCTATGGCCAATACAGAAGGCACACTACCCCCGCTTTCAATACAGAAGATTTCTGGATGAAATATAACAATGTAAAGAATTATATAAAGAACCCACAATTTACCTAGAAATCAGTAAGGTAAAACCCCCCAGGTGCCAGACATAGAGAGGAAATTTGCAATTAATGTGTCAGTGAGAACTGCAGCCAAGGGACTCCATGGGAAATTGGGAGCAAATAAAAAAAGATCCCAGTGACTGGATGGTTGGGGATTTAAATTCAGTCTGAGCCACAGGCCTCAACTGAATGGGAAGCTGGAACTGAGCTAAAAGAATAAGGTCCAAGGTCACAAAACACCATCCCATCTGTAAAACTAATTGTAATAACCATGCACTCTCCCAAGGAGCAAGCAGGAAAGCCTCCCATCTGAGGAGGGCAGTTGTAGCTCCAAGAGTCACCCAGGAGAAGGCAGAAAATCTACAGCCCAGCACCGAGGGGACGGGGTTCTAAATGCATACTACCTGTGTGTTCCTGAGACCCAAAGCCAACCTGCTGTTAGAAGCCAAATCCCCACCACCACTGCCACCACCAGCTCCCCTGTGAAGGAAACCTGAAGTCATTCTGTAAAAATGCTCCCACTCCCATAGTGCCTATGGTTCCCCAAGGGAAGAATCCCCACTCAAAACAGGCTTATAATGGAAAATGCTAATCACACAAGAAGATGAGCCACTATAGGTAGTCAAAAGATCAAATGAAGAGCCTGTTGTTCAGAGTGAAGTAAGCCAGAAAGAGAAAAACAAATATATATTGACGCACTTATATGGAAACCAGAAAAATAGTACTGATGAAAATATTTGCAGGGAAGGAATGGAGATGCAGACATAAAGAACAGGTTTGTGGACACAGCAGCAGGAGACGGTAGAACGAATTGAGAAAGTAGCACTGACATATGTACACTACCATGTGTAAAACAGATAGCTAGTGAGAAAGTGAAAGTTGCTCACTCATGTCCGACTCTTTGAGACCCCATGGACTATACAGTCCATGGAATTCTCCAGGCCAGAATACCGAAGTGGGCAGCCTTTCCCTTCTCCAGGGGGTCTTCCCAACCCAGGGACCAAACCCAGGTCCCCCACATTGCAGGCAAATTCTTTACCAGCTGAACCACAAGAGAAGCCCAAGTATACCGGAGTGGGTAGCCTACCCCTTCTCCAGCAGATCTTTTCAAATTAATTTGCCAAATTCTGACCCAGGAATCGAACCAGGGTCTCCTGCATTGCAGGTGGATTTCTTTACCAACTGGGCTATCGGGCAGTAACTACTGGAAAGCTGCTATATGATACAGGTGGCCCAGCCAGACACTCTGTGGTGATCAAGAGGGGTGGAAGGGAGAAGGGAGGAAGGTTCACAAGGGAGGAGATATATATAAAGAGTTATGGCTGGTTCACATTGTTTTACAGCAAGAACCAACACAACACTGTAAAGCAATTACCTTCCAATTAAAAAATAAATTTAAAAAAGAATAAAGTAGAATTAAAATGCTAAATAATAATTATGGAAGATTGTGAAACAGGGCTATGGGAATTATTCTCAGGTACCATTCAGGAGCAGGATAGAGATTTTGATTATCATTAGACTTAGTTAACTGTGGATGTCAAAATTTGTCACCACATAAAGAATAGAAAAAGAATATTTAACTCCTTAAGTGGTAGAAGTTCAATTCAGTTGCTCAGTCGTGTCCGACTCTTTGCAACCCCATGGACTGCAGCATGCCAGGCCTCCCTTTCCATCACCAACTCCCAGAGTTTACTCAAACTCATATCCATTGAGTTGGTGATGCCATCTAACTATCTCATCCTCTGTTGTCCCCTTCTTTTCCTGCCTTCAATCTTTCCCAGCATCAGGGTCTTTTCAAATGAGTCAGCTCTTTGCATCAGGTGGCCAAAGTATTGAAGTTTCAGCTTGAATATAAGTCCTTCCAATGAATATTCAGGGCTGATCTCCTTTAGGATGGACTGGTTGGATCTCCTTGCAGTCTAGGGGACTCTCAAGAGTCTTCTCCAACACCACAGTTCAAAAGCATCAATTTTTCATTGCTCAGCTTTCTTTATAGTCCAATTCTCACATCTGTACATGACTACTGGAAAAACCATAACCTTCACTAGATGGACTTTGGTGGCAAAGTACTATTTCTGCTTTTTAATATGCTGTCTAGGTTAGTCATAACTTTCCTTCCAAAGAGTAAGCGTCTTTTGATTTCATGGCTGCAATCACCATCTGCAGTGATTTTGGAGCCCAGAAAAATAAAATCAGCCACTGTTTCCATCTATTTCCACTGTTTCTCCATCTATTCGCCATGAAGTGATGGGACCAGATGCCATGATCTTAGTTTTCTGAATGTTGAGCTTTAAGCCAACATTTTCACTCCTCTCTTTCACTTTCATCAAGAGGCTCTTTAGTTCTTCTTCACTTTCTACCATAAGGGTGGTGTCAACTGAGGTTATTGATATTTCTCCCGGCAATCTTGATTCCAGCTTGTGCTTCATCTAGCCCAGCGTTTCTCATGATGTACTCTGCATATAAGTTAAATAAGTAGGAACTAGTCTGTTGTTCCATGTCCAATTCTAACTGTTGCTTCCTGACCTGCATACAGATTTCTCAAGAGGCAGGTCAGGTGGTCTGGTATTCCCATCTCTTTCAGAATTTTCCAGTTTGTGGTGATCCACACAGTCAAAGGCTGTGGCATGGTCAATAAAGCAGAAATAGATGTTTTTCTGGAATTCTCTTGCTTTTTCGATGATCCAGCGGGTGTTGGCAATTTGATCTCTGGTTCCTCTGCCTTTTCTAAAACCAGCTTGAACATCTGGTAGTTCATGGTTCACGTATTGTTGAAGCCTGGCTTAGAGAATTTTGAGCATTACTTTCCTAGTGTGTGAGATAAGTGCAATTATGTGGTAGTGTGAGCATTCTTTGGTATTGCCTTTCTTTGGGATTGGAATGAAAATGGACCTTTTCCAGTCCTGTGGCCACTGCTGAGTTTTCCAAATTTGTTGGCATATTGAGTGCAGCACTTTCACAGCATCATCTTTTAGGATTTTAAACAGCTCAACTGGAATTCCATTACCTCCACTAGCTTTGTTCATAGTGATGCTTCCTAAGGCCCACTTGATTTCACATTCCAGGATGTCTGACTCTAGGTGAGTGATCACACCATTGTGACTATCTGGGTCATGAAGATCATTTTTGTACAGTTCTTCTGTGTATTCTTGCCACTTCTTCTTAATATCTTCTGCTTCTGTTAGGCCCATACCATTTCTGTCCTTTATTGTGCCCATCTTTGCATGAAATGTTCCCTTGGTATCTCTAATTTTCTTGAAGAGATCTCTGGTCTTTCCCATTCTGTTGTTTTCCTCTATTTCTAAGTGGTAGAAATGAGAAAGCTTAAATATTAAGAAGGCAGGAAAGGAAAAAATGCACATAAGGGAGTTGCATGGTAAGTCTAAAACATAAAATAGGAAAAAATCCAGACTGATCAAGAATCACATAAAATGCACACAGCTTAGTCTACTGTAAAGAAAATGGAGAGTATCTGACCGGATGTTGCAAAAATCTTGCTAATGCTGCTAAAAACTACCAGATAAACCAAAGCTCCCATATCAATGGAGAAAGAGTGTAAAGTAAACTTTCCAAAAGAAAGCTTAGGTAGGTCTATTAATATCAGACCACACTTAAGCATGACTGATCAAGACAATGAGGGAAGGCACACGCATATCCGTACACACACACAAATTACAGATACGAAAGGGGACAAAACTACAGTTTGTTTCAGATTTTTAGAAATCTAAGAAAATATTAAGATCAGCTCTCTGCCAATAAATTTGAAATTTTAGGGAAATTTGGCAAATTAGTAGGGAAATATAAAATTATCACAGTGACTGATGAACTAGAAAGACTAGTAGGGCAACAAACCATTAAAGGGCTCAAATCAATAGTACTCACACCCACCTCCACACTCAATGCATCTCTCTCCCTTTCGTCCATTCTGTTTTATGAGAAAATTTTAGCGAAGTTTCAGAGGATAGAAAAAGAGAAAAACTACTTTACTCATTTTCAGAGGATAGTGTAATTTTGATATGAAAACCACAGAAAGATCAAACAATGAAATAAAAATAAAGCCCAGTTTTGTGTAAGAAACTTTAACCCAAACTCACTAAGTACTAAATAAATTAGTATTAAAATCAACTTAAGAATAACTAAAATTTATTCCAAGACTTCAAGGATGGCTCAACATCAGACAATCTATCACTGCAATGAATCACAGTGAAACAATGAGAAGGAAAAACTCATAATTATTTTAATAGATATAAACAAACTTTCCATGTAGATAAACGCTCTCAACTAGATTAAACGCCAACAAATACCACACTTAAAAATGAAGTCTAATCAACTTTAGTTGATATCTAAACTCTATTGGGAATGCCTGAAATAGGAAAAAGTCGAATCCATAGACAATTGAACAAAAAGACATGACAGACATCACAGAAGAAAAAACTTGAATCGTTTACAAAAGTAAATTTGAAGTCTTATGGTCAACAGGGAGATGGAGTAAAGACAAAGAGAATTTCATTTACATCAGTTTAGCAAGAATCCCCCAACTGGAAAAGGACACCACATTTGGCAAGAACACGGAGAAACTCTTTATACTGGTTTGAGAGGACAACCATTTTGGGAGATAATTTTTCAATGCTTATTATAGCAAAACTGAAGTTTCTTATTTACTATTACTTAGCAATTTCTACTTTAAATAACCTAGAGAAACTTGCTTATATTCACCTGGAAATACATGAGGATGATCACTGCAATATCATTGGAAAATGTGAAGATAAAAAACAATTTCAATG